TTTATAATTTTTTTAAGACATAGAAATCGGATGTATGTTCAGTCAAGAAATATAAAATGGTTAAAACACTAAACTAACAGGATCGTGTTATGGGAGAGAAAAAACATTTATTTCATCGTGTTATGAGATATGACAACATTTATTTGATCAACAAATAAATGTTCAACCAATGGTTAAAGTGAAAAGAGATTCACTTTATAGATGCTTGGATTTCGTACAAAACTAATTAGACCGGGTTTAATTTTGATGTATTCCTGTTAAGTTAGCAATATTTTGCGTATAGTATAGCTGGCAAAATGAAGTGTGCCAATGTGCATGAGCTTCAACTTACTTAAATATTATAAGGTTGCATCATTGACCCGTTGTTGTTTTACATAGAGTTTTAGAATTTGCTGTAATTTGTTTGTGCTTAGAATTAATAAAAATACACAGTACAGTAGTAGGCCTATTTTTATAATAAACATCGTACATTTATATAAACACCGTTCAACTTCAAAGAAATTGCTATTCCACTCCATGAGGAAATTCTGTCATATTAAACTCACTCAAATGTGATTTTAAGTTGCTTATTTTAGGACGACTTTCATTCAAGACTATTGTCGTTGAACTGTAAATGGTTACAAACGTGTGTTCCTACAACAATAAATCACAGTAACGGTTCCACAATAATGGTTCTCTAAGAGACGCAGACTTCTAGGTTCGTACATCTCTGTGGTTTGTAATCCAGATTTATAACCCTTTATTGTACCAAAATTTTTGTATCTGAAAGTGTTTGGTGTTTTCAATATTTTACGAGCATAGCCTACTCAATAAATTTAAAATAAAATATATATAGCCTACATCGAAGTAATAGGGATTTAGGTTGTATCATAGAAGAAACATGGTTGTAAGATAATTACCAGTCTTGGTATAAAATTTGGGTATTATTTTTAAGTAGGTACATTATTTATTCTTAGTTGTTATTTTATTTGCATGTATAGAAAGTATGTGTATTCACTGCACTCATTACCTTATTCTATTCATATAATTCTTATTCAAAATTTCACTAGTAAACAGATTAGATTTTTTAATGGTATTCAGGATTGTTATTGTTTATATTATTTTTTTATTGTAATTGTATGCTTTTAATAACGTGTAATTTCTAAATAAGGTTTTTGTTATGCTCAAATGCGTACCATTATTTCCTATACGTATAGCTTTATCAAGGATAGCTTCTATTATCATGCTCAATAGTTCAATATGTCATAATGTTTATTATTATTTATGATTATATCTCGTTACCTTTATGAAAAGTTGTTGATATGTTATCTTGGTTGTTTATTGTATTTTATACTTTATTTTTTATACTTCTTCCATCTTTATTTGTTAAAAATCAATGTAGAATTGTTACGTCACCGAAATAAAGTTCCTTAATTGTTACACCACCGAAATAAGTTATTAAATATTCAAGTGTTTATTTATAGAGTTCGCCTTCCAATCTGAGGGTCACTAGATCAATCCCAGGCAGAGTCGATTCTCACACCAGAATATATAGCATATACAAAAACTCACGTTACACTGTAACAAGACCAGGGATTTTAACGTTCAAGGGTGGTGGCGTCTTCACCTACCTTAAATTTTGATTAGGTAATCATCGTAAAAAATCTTCGTAGTTTTTAAGTTACATGAAATGTATTTAATTTTATGTCTAGAACTCTACAAATATTTGCTAGCCTAATTTTCCTAGCCTGCAGTAAGTTTTCTGGTGTCATTGACATGCGTATCTCACGCCTAACAATATCCTAACAGTTGAGGTATTGTCATTAATTTAGACCGAAATATTAAAAACTAATAAGTTTTCTCACTTTTGAGTGGTCATTGAAACCTGCTTCAGCTCATATTCTAATGTCTTTCTTATGACTGAGTAAAACACGTCGTGTAGGCTACATCACTGGAAGTTAATTTTTTATTCATGCGATTAAATATATGTGTATGCAGGTTCAAAGTAAGAAAGAGCATGTGTCCCTAATTTTTCCTGTTGAAATAAAGGATTTAATTCCGTCTTATCCACCCCAATGGAACTACCTCAAAAATATTATCCACCAATTGTTGAAGCCTGTTTTTAAACTCCTGATAAAAACTCCTGATATATTTTTTATTCATCCGAAAAGTCTATTCCTTCATTTACGTCGTGATATTCTCCTTTGGACATTCCAGTAGTCGGTTATCGCCTGCGGAGTGCCAGAATGTCTACAGGTAGTTTCCGGCGCCATCAGTATGCCGGAGTCGCGGCCAAGACGTGTGACACATCCAAATGCTAAGCACCGGACGCACCTTAGTTGGTCCCGGGTTTATACTGCCATATCCGCCGCAATATTGACAACCGGGGCCGAATTTGGTGAGGGCTGAACCTACAACTTGTGCGGTTTAAAAGGCTATGTTGACTCAAAATCAACATAGGCTACTAGGCTAGTGATTAGCTCATTTAATGACAGAGTTGATTAAGTGCAGCTTCAGATTCATTACACGAATATCAGTGTAACAATTACTTCATAACCTCAAAAAGCTATCTTGTAGATGTAAATCGGCATGGACACTCGTAGGAATCTTCTTCAGAGAAAGGGAAACCGGCAAATAGTGTGTTGTATTAGGAGGAGGAAACAGTCCTCTAAAAAAAACTAGTTGTTTCAAAACGCTTAAACAGATTATTGAATGTAAAAGCCGCGATAATCTATAACAATGTTTGAACATACTCATTGGTCGCGACAATCGGTGTAGAACCTTAGGTCTACAGAGCACAGTTAATTAAAATTTATAGCTATTTAGGTGTGGCATTAATTTAAACTTAGCGAGCTACCTGCGAGCAACCATCACGTAGAGCTAAGAAGATGGGCGTTTATGAAGAGTAGTACAAGTACATACGGTGAAGAGAGCGTATTAGGATCTATAGACCTGACAGGTGCAGAGTTCTAGAGCAAGTGTTAGGCTAAGTTAGTTGGCTATTCATGATGATGTTAAGAGCTGGTAAGTGGTAAGTGAAGAGTAGAGAGTGTAGAGCTGGTAAGTGTTTTAGCATGCGCATGTGTCCGATGTTTCCGCCGCGGTCGTTGCTTATTCATTTCACACCCGCGTCAAAATCATGTCAGGTATTCACCGAAGCCACAAAGTAGCTTCGCTGTCTTGGACCCAGTACAAACCATAGATAAAACATACTCCCTTAGTAGATTGTACATTTCCAATCCTTTATGGAACAATGGAAGAAAATTTTATCGTTTGTTCTGTCCGGTGCACTGTAGAGGTCGTGTTTTGTTTTCAAAATTACGCCGACACTACTCACCAGCAGTGTCAGCGGACATGAACAAGACACGAAAACGAGCTTAGAAATTTACAATGGGATTGGGAAGTCTATTTGTGTTGGTTAGTCTATGAAGGAAAGAAGAGATGAATGCGTGTGTTGTATCATATCCGTACTCGTTATAATGAAGTGATAACCAATTTTAGTTCAAATATCATCATCCTACTGATAAAAATAAAATAAATAAAAGATAAAACTGATAAAATCATGTTTTATTTTTTGCATTTGACAATTCAATCTAGTTCTTTCGTGTGTTATTTCAATGTCCTAATGTTCCTACAGTGAAATGGTGTGTTTGTTTGCATTGGGTTGTAACTTTAAAACGCAATATAATATTGTTCTTTTATAACAACTTTTCAAATATAACATTAAAAGAAATTACAGTCAGTCAGTGAACACGTACAACTGTAGGATATCTATTCCAAGAAAGATGTATTTGTACAAGTGTATTTTTTAAATTTTTCAACTAAACGGTCCAAACACTGGTCTTATTTTCTTCTAAACGTCGACCTTTTGTTGGACAGAGTCATTATTTGGTAGCCCAATGGCAATAATATCTGGGGGTCCTACATCTCCCTTGCTTGGATTCGAAGCGACCTACAGATTTGAAGGCGAACACTGTAATCTCTCGGATACCCTGTTACTAATTGTGGGTTTATTTTTCATAACAAAATAAACTAGTGTTATGAGAACTCTTTTACAGGACTGTTTTTTACTGTGCAGACGGAAGTAGGCAAGATGTCGGCATAGCCGAGTGTCACAGGTCTCGGCTGTGTCACATCAAGCCTTCTATCCCTGCCTGAGTCAACATTGTAAGGGTACGCAATATTCTGCAGGCCTCAACAAACCTCTACATCGACAATGTCACAAGAAGCATTCTGGTCTTGGCCAACTCAACAGCAACGGTGAAGAAAAGTTCAATCACAGTGCGCCACAAAGGATCTTCGTGGTTTTGATTGCCCCAAACAATAATGGGGTCATCTGTCATTATACTTTCTGGTTTTTAATGGTACAAGTAAAATGTTTATGTCATAGATTTGAAATACTTGTAAATCCATCTAAAGTGGAAACGAGGATATTTTTAACTAGCTAGATCTTTGGTTATAACTGAGAAATTTTGTCTGGTTCTTCTATAACTTTTTTTACAAAGCGTGGTACCATAGATTTCAAAATTAAAGGAGGGAATAATTTATCTATAATCTATGGTACTTCATTTCATCGTTGGTTTTGTTGTATTCTATAGTGAATGATTCTACTCAGTTTGAAATACGTTTGTGTTGTTGGCAATGGTGTTCCGTAATTTCCAACCAATCAGAATATTGGAATATACCCGTTCTTCTTCCTCATCCTAGCCCATTTCCTAGTCAACAAAACAGTCGTCTCTTGTCGTCTCGAAAAACTCGAGACTCGTTGTGAATCAAGCAAGAGAGTGTTGTCTTGTTGTATACATTTCACTTGTTTTTAGTCCCACATGCTACGAGGTTAATTTCTTAACAGTACCTTAATGTCTCAAATTAGCGTGTAAGAATCAGTTAAAGGTGTTCTTAGGCATGTGTTTAGTCAATTAGTTAGCTTATTTAGGGAATGTCCCCGATTACCATAAATCAATTTCAAAATATTATCTATCCTAGGCCTATAGGCTTACTAACTTACAAGTTCTTCTTGTTATTGTGGTGTAGCCCAGTTTTTACAAAACCTGCAGGGAAATTTCACAGCTTGAGTTTAGTTGCTTAAGTTGTACAAGGTCTCCCGAAATGGTAAGTAAAGTTAAACTTAAGTTTAGTTGTTTAAGATTCCCACTTTTCAGCTGATAGTCTACTTTTTGTTCATAAAAAACCGCATTTTAGTTAGGTACCTACACTAATTATAGTAACTAATGTTAATATTTTAGTAGGCCTACCCTATTGGACTAGGACACAGAAGAAGGCAAGGTACAGAGGGAAACATGCATATGGGAAGACCGAGCGCTTTTAGCTTTAATACGTTGTATCGGATATATACTTGTGTAATGAGCAAGGGAGACTCGTAGTGGCGAGCACTGTGAGGAAATTCCTATTGCTCAGGACACAGGGTCTTCCTCCACCGGAAGCATTGTAGTACATGGAGAATAAGGGGGGGGCAGTGTAGGACTTCAACCTAGACCCTACGGCCCCTTCCTGCGAAGACATAGGCCTACTGAGAAAGTGGTTTTATTCAATAGAGCTCTAGCATATAAGCTTTAAACTTTTTAATCATTTCTCACAATCGTAGAACTAAGTTACTCGTATAGGCCTATCTTGCGTTCTTGGCAAAACTTAAATTTACTGCGATTGTCACACAAGATCGAGACAACACTCTTAAGCATTTCTTACGTTCTTGGCAATACTTAGGCCCTACTGTGATCGTCTCCTGTGATTAACTTAAGTTATCCCTGGTATCGGTATATGTATGGTGTATGGTATATAACTTAAGTTAATAATAATCTTAAGGTAGGCCTAGTAGTTGAAATTTAGTCCATGGAACGTTATCAACAAATTGAGGCTCATGGGCTATTTGCTTTAATTCTGGAATCCCTCGTCCAAACCCTATAAATTAATCTAAAACAAGTGCATGTACGGGCAAACTTTTTTTGTTCTAGCATTTTTTATTTTTTTCTTCAATAAGTACCGTATGGGGTATTTGGCCACGAGAAATCGATTGGAGTTGTGGCGAGGCTGGGAAAAATCCAGTTTCCGTCCTACAGCCCTTGAAAGTGCCCATGTTTATCGGCAATACCTTTCTGTAGCTGAAGTTAACAAAAACAGCTGATACAGATTATTTTTACTGTCATCATTTTGATTTATGTGTAGCCTACAGCTTAGTTTGGACTAAACATTTTAAAGAATAGTTATATTCAGCTTGGTTTGTATACATATTTATATGTACATATTTAACAGTTATAACTGTTAAATGTTTTCAAGGTTAATTTACAAGATTAAGAATGAAACGCGGAAGACCTCCGAAGCGAATATAAATAATCCAAAAGGAAGAGAAGTTACAGTCGATTCTCAGGAAACAAATTTCAAATTCGTCGTCTAAAACCGAGCCAGTTTCAACCAGCTCATACATCTCACCAAATGTCTCAAAACCTCGGCCAAGTATTGCATCGAAGAATTAAGGGAGAGAAATAATTTAAGATCTTATGGCCGGGCAAAATAATGAACAGAGGTCGATCATCTTGAGCAGGAGTGTCGATCGATCTTGTCGAGTGTCGACGAACTGCTGCTCGACGTTTGGAAGAACCTCAGCACACTGCAATTTCTCAAACCTCTAAAGTCGCCATGTCAGCGGATTTTGGATATTCACGATTGGAACCGTTTGACGTGGCATTTTTATTTCCATTTAAAAACATTATTTTATGATGAATAATGGAGGAATCTTAGAGACTTGTGTTTTGTTATTCAGGTAGCGTGTTAATGGATTTTCTTGATGATTTTGTTGTTTTTTGTTTTTCACAGATGATACGAGTTGAATCCAAGAACGCGTTGATTGAACCAAATGAAAGTGAGGTGAGATTAAAACATTTCTAGAATAACATGTTTAACAAATTTCCCATTTGGGGAATAAGCTAAATTACCTTAGGTCTCGTGGTAAGACCTGGACCCGGGTTAACTTTTACTTTTAATTTACTTTTTCGTTTTGAGGTCCCCAGAGAACAAAAACAACATCCATTCAAATTCATCTGTTTGTCCGTAAGCACAATAACTCGAGCAAAAATCATCCGATTTTGTTGAAATTTGCTATAAACGTGTAAACGTACATTTATTTGTACGAGTTTGCAAACCAGCATTATCATGGAGACGGGGGTTTATGGAGTAAAAATTGATTTTTCCATTTTTGATCTTAAAAACAAAAAATTTTGCAATATCTTTCCAAACTGTTTTGTAGAGGTTAAAAAATGAAATAATGGTGTAGCCTATTTAAAGCGTTGTTGTATGCATAACAATTACGGAGATGATTCCAAAAAGGTGTAAATTTAACAGTCCCATGTTAGGCTTATTCTTATGGAAAATAAATTAAACAATTGTATGAGGGTTATCCAAAAAGTAAGGTCCGATTTGCTGTAACTAGTTGGAAGTATGCATCAAGGACAAAACATGCATGTGAGCCGACTCCCGGCATGCCTTGTGCGTCAAGTGCCGCCATTAGCGTTGTTATTGTTGCTGTGTGCTGTTTATAGTGTCAGTTCACAACGTTTAAGACAATTGATCGGCCCGCCGATTGTAAAGTAAAGGCAGTGATACGGTTTTTGTCTGCAAGAAACGTTTAAGCGGCAGAAATTCATCGGCAGATTACTGAAGTTTACGGTTCAGTGAGAGACAGTAAAGAAAAGTGCGCAAGTGGGTGCGAGCTTTTAATGAAGGGAAAATGTGCATGATGAATCACGGTCTGGCCGACCATCAGTGATTTCAGAAGATTTGGTCAATGCGGTTGACCAACAAATTCGTAAAGATTGACGATTCACTATTTTAGATCTCCACCTGTTTTCCACTTTTCTCACTTTCTGATTTCCACCTTTTCCGCTACCTAAAGGAGTTTCTTGGTGGCAAGCGCTTCGACACAGATGATGAAATGAAAAAAGCAGTTAAAAACTGATCATCTTCCCAGGCGGTCGATTTCTACGACTTAGGCATTCAAAAGCTTGTTGAACGATGTGACAATTGTTTAATTAAGTCTTTTAGTAAGACTAAGCAAATTTCTAAGATATCTCAATAAAAATATCCTATTTTAATAACATTAGTTTAACGTGATCTTAGGTTATAGTTAAATTTTTATAATAAGGCTTTAGAAAAAAATAAATTGGTACATTTTCAAAATTTTATCAACGTTTGATTATAAACAAGGAAACTACAACAGTTTACTTATTCTCCGTAAGAATACTGTACTGTGGGAATTTTACATTTTTACCCCATAAAAACCCCAAAAACCCCTGCTCCCATAGTCCCATGACGTAGGAGTCAAAAGACATTAGTCATTAAAAATAATTTTAAAAAAAGGGTAGGATACTATGGTTTATTTTTTCTATTACAAATTTCTATATAAATCTATACAATATATATACATAAAAATTTAAAGGAATAGTATTTTTGGCCTCTGTGGACATCAAAATGAAAAAGTAATTCGGTCGCGGACCTAGGTCTTACCGTGCCACCTACGGTAATAGCTACTTCCTATAAAGAAAATTTGCCAAAACAATGAGATATAATGCCAGTACAAATGTTTTGTCTTGGACTTCTAATTATTAATAATCATGGAATAATTTTATTTATTAGACACTACAATAACCTTAAAAGTTATCACAACCTAATTGAGCGGAGCGAAGAGAAGCTCTTTGGGATATATTTAAATGCAAATCTAACACTTACACTCAATAACGGCTGAACATATTATAGCCAAACTTACCAAGGTTGTTTTAACAAATGATTGGAAGGTTTAGACTAAACCAATTTCAATTTTTGATAATGCCAATTATTATTTAAAAGTAACTCATATTTTGTAAATTTTAACATTGACCTTATGGGTTGCCATGATGGTTATGCAATAACGACGTAAATGTAATCAAAACAAAGAATCATAGCGTATGTTAAAATCAAGCCATGACCCAAACACAGTGCAAAGGGAAAAATTCAGATGAGGACTACAGACTAAGGTATAGGCTGGGATAGAATTTGTTTTATCAAAAATGCTACAAACTCTCAGACAACTATAGCAGAAATATTATTCTTTAAACATTAAAAAAAATTGCCATTGATATTACATGTTTGAAAATTACATATTCAATTTTATTTATAGCAAATTTGCTATAGCCTGCAAAAACAATGTAGCATTTTTAAGTTGTGTATAGTAAAATGCTATTGCAGCTTAAACCCTGCTACAAACTGATAAAATAATACACAGAAAGTCTTAAGTTTACATTTATGTTGCATTTTGGAAACTACCACTGATTGAATGGGTACAGTATTTTACAGATTTGATTTATGTACTAAATAAGGTTAAACAACATTTATCTTATGTTATTAGGAATTAAAACAACTACACAAATCTTTGAGTTTTAAATAAGTAGGTATTCTCAAATCAATACTTCAACCGCGTTCTATACTTGAACCTATACTCTGTCTATAGTTGTTACCAACTTTGGCAACGTGGCTTGGGCCGCTGACGCTTTGCTTGCGGTAGTCAGTCGGTAGTGCCTCTGAGCACCTTTAAATCATTTAGGCCTAGTATTAAAAATAAAAATGCATTATAAAACAACAAAACTACTATTAAACCATTAAACAAACAAATTTCATTAACAAAAATCAACGCTTTACAACCTACAAACGCAATACACAGTGTGTTAATAAACCCTAAACTGCATTACCGACATGCCCGAGGTGGCGTAGCTCGGGCCGTTAACACTCTGCAACAGCGCTGTACAGGTAATGGTGGCATCCATTGAGTGTCTACTCTAGTAATTGTATACTGTTGAAATACAAACTCTTACACTTTCAACATTTTACTGAGAAATGTTCAGTGTAAACTTAATCTTACGCCTTGTTAAAACACTGTTGTCTCTGTATTGTTAACATATGATTCAGTAACCTAAAGCACAGAAAACGTACTACTATAACCCAGAATGCCAACCGCATGGTAAAAAGCATTAAGCGTTTTGAGAGAGCTTTGCCTGTCAATCCGTAGGCAGCGCCACCAGCGTTGCCATGCACTCAGCATAGCAACGCTGGTGGCGCTGCCTACGGATTGACAGGCAAAGTTCTCTCAAAACGCTTAATGCTTTTTACCATGCGGTTGGCATTCTGGGTTATAGTAGTACGTTTTCTGTCCCTAAAGGTGTTAAACCAAAGAGTGTTTAACCATTTATTTGTATTTTTTTAGGGCTCCTACAAATTAGGGAAAAGTAAAGCACCGGATCATAACGTTTATTTGTCGGTTTGGGGAAATTCTAGAGTGCCCAGTGAAATGTTCAGTGTAAACTTAATCTTACGTCTTGTTAAAACACTGTTGTCACTGTATTGTTAACATATGATTCAGTAACCTAAAAGTGTTAAACCAAAGTGTAACCATTTATTTTTATTTTTTTAGGACTCCTACAATTCAGGGAAAATAAAGCACTGGATCATAACGTTTATTCGTCGGTTTGGGGAAATTCTAGAGTGCCCAGTGTGTTTCAACAAAATGGATGTTTCCCTGAAGTTGTGTGTCAACGGACATGGGACTTGCAGCAATTGCCGACGGAATGTGAACAAGTGCCCCACTTGTCGTGGAGAGTTTGTTGAAATGTCCGGAAACAAATTTTTGTCACTAGCAATAGATCAAATTAGTGATTTTTTTTTGTCAAGTGGTCACACTTGTACCCTGAATGACCCAGATTGCTTAACTGATCCCGGATTGATATCAATGTGGGAATATGAATTTGGACGCCTGGTGTTTGGATTGCATACAATTTTTAAATGTCCAGGTTGTAACGTGAAGATGGACAAAAATCTAGTACTCTGCACCGACGGCCACGCGGAGTGTAGGGAGTGCGCAAGCAAGAATGAGACTCAAACGTGTCTTACGTGTAAAAAGAATTTGCTGTTCAAGTTTCACCAGAACACCTTGTTGGCTAAAATCATAGAAAGCGAACCTAAACTTTGCCCTAATGCTGTGGTACAAGGCAAACATAAAGAAGACTATAACTGTGAATACCTACCCACCCAATGCTTGGTAGCACACTGTGATTGGAAAGGATTTGTTAAAAATCTGCTGAAACATGTCAAAAAATGTCATCCTTTTGGAAAAGGAGAGTGTTTAAACGTCAAACAGAGAGGCTGTTATTCATTTGATTTAGATGAGTCCAAAGCCTTCTATACGCCCATCATTTTTCAAGACCAGGTCTTCTGGAAATACTTCCATAGGGATGGCACGACAAAAACCATCACCCATAAACTTTACTTACCAACATCCAAGCCACCTTGCAAGTACTACTTGAACATTACGTTTGAAGAAGGCGACATCAAATTTGAGCAATCCTGTGAAGCTATACACGGAGAGGATTGTTATAACACAATATACAAGAAGCTTGCAAACCGTGACATGGACGTCCAAAGAGGTCTTGTCATACCAGATCATGTAATAAACACATTTTCAGTCCCGGGCTTAAGAAAAACATACTACTACTATATGAAGTTAATAATTGAGGACATTGCTTAGGTAGAATGTTCTAAAATATCACATCCGAAACAATACCCATATGTGACAGCAAATTTCATTGATTTAAAACTGGTGACTTAATCAAAATGTGTGTTGCTCAATTTCTATGGATTCTTCAGTAATACCCTGGTTTCTCGCAAAGAGCAGGTACTTATTTTTGGAATCATTTGTTTTTAAACCTACTTTTTCCGCTTCTCTCATAAATAGTTAGGTTAAAGTCTTGAGATCCTCTCGTTTTTCTGCAATTACAAAAACATCATCTGCAAAGCTAATATGTTTAACCTGGTTCCTATTTTGACACCTATGTCCCTTTCTGCTACCTTCTGTAGAGCTTTAATGGAGATAGAAAATAGACAATAGACAATAATCTTTATTGACATGTTCGTTGAGAACAGTACATGCGTCAGAATAATAACTAAAATTGGTGGATAGTTTTTAAAGCTAGTTTTTTCTTTTTTTTTTATTGAACAGGACTGGGACAGCGGAACAGGACTGGTCCGAGAACTGATCCCTGTGGTACTTTTTTGCTGTGGTACTCCTCACCGTATAGGGACAATTTCGGAATGTATTTTATGGTGAGTGTTTATTTCTACATGTTGAATCTCAATTAGCTGCTGTCTGCCATTAAGATAACTGTGAAACCATTGTTTAGACTTTCCCTCAATACCCAGAGTTTCCAATTTTCTAAGAAGTGTCTTGTGGTTAAGGCACTTAAAGACCTTGCTAAAGTCCAAAAACAGACTTGTGACTGACGAGCCATCTTCTAATTGTTCTATTATGTGCTCGGTGAGCTTTATTAAGGCAGTGGAAGTGGATCTTCCTTTAAGGAAGCCATGTTGCTGGCTGGTGAGCAGCAGAAAAGATCTTGGAGAATGTCGGTATAAGTGAAATTGGTCTGTAACTTTTAGCATCTGTGTTTGGTCCACTTTGATATTTAGGGTATACCTTGGCAGTTTTCAGCTGTGTTGGGAAAACCCCTTGTTTGAGAGACTTATTTATGAGTGCTGTTATCAGTTGTTTTGCTGATATTTCATCAGTGCCAGATGAAGTTTTTGATCTAAGTTAGTTTATTGCTTTTAGTACTTTGTTACGTGTTGCAAGCTGAAATTTTAGTTTGTCATCTGTTAAAGGAGGAATTTCGGGGGTTCTGGTGTGTGTGTTGGTGTTGTTGGCCTGAAGTGTCCTTTCCGCAGCTGTAGCAAAAAACTGTTGAGGTGGTTTGATATTTTGATTGGGTCCTGTAATGTCTCCCCATCTACTAGGAGTTCCCTCTCATTTTCTATACTGGTACTTGATGTTCTTTCATTATTTATTACCTGCCAGAGTGTCTTGGACTTGTCGCAATTGCTTATAAAGTCGGATGTTTGAGTTTTCCTCAAAGTCTTTAGTCTTTTTTAGGTCATAGTCCCTTTCTCTTGCTGCGGTTTCTGCTTTATCTTCAGGTAGACCTGTGCAGTTTTATTTTTTTTCAGTGATATTAAACAGAATAGGTGACAGCCCATCTCCTTGTCTGACTCCTAAATTTAAATAAAAGGGTTCACAGTAGTTGTGTCCATAAATTCTAACAAGATACAAGTTTTTTTGGGATGCCAAATTGCCCTAACTGCCCCCACAATTTGGTCCTTCTTTAGGCTATTAATGAAACTGGGATAGATAATAAACAACATATATTAACATAAGAATATTCTGAAAATGTCAATTTTGTTAGCGGTGTTGTTTAGCAAATATTTATTATGAATCTTAAAAGTCAATGAGACTGGCCAAGGATCAGTTAAATAATTGTATAGTAACTACATCTATGGTAATACTGTAAAATGAAACTAGGATTTTTATCTTAGTGTTGATAGTTGATACTCTAGTTAAGTCATACTGACAAAGGTTTATTATTGGTATGTATTTGTTATGATAGATGAGAAAAATGTTCAATCTGGAAATGTGCATGCATGGCTCTGAGGAAGTTGGTTTGAAATTAGTGTAAATTTAACAGTTTCATTTATTTGTATATATGTGTACAATTATGTCTATATATGGGCATTCCTTAAGTAAGTTTAAAGGTGAATTAGATCATTATTTAGTGCATACTCTAAACAGGATTGATTTTTATCTCAGAAATGACATTATTAGTTTAAATAATATACTCGTAAAACAAAACAACAGTAATAAAATGCTGTTTTTGTTTCATCATAGGTTTAAATGTATTGATCTAGAAAATCTGGTGTAAACGGAAGTTTAAAGTTATTTTTCCAATTTGTATTAAGTTGTATTTATTGTCATTTGTCGGTTTTTTGCATTTATAGACCTTTAAATTATATTTCACAATTTGATGTTTTAGTATTGTAGCCTAAATTTAAGTTGCCACTACCACAGACAATTAAGATACAGAGGAAACGTTTAATAGTACACTTAAGTGGTGTCAAGAGCAAATTCTGTCCTTACGTTCTTACGTCTGTCCTATCCCCCCCCTCGCCATCACATACTATAGTGCTCACAATGTAGGAAGACCCTGACCCCCAACTGCAGTACAAAAACGCTATGTGGCCATCGCCGTTGGTGCTTTTCCTTGCTTGGTAGTCACATAAGCTTGTATCCTCTCGATCTTACTTCTCTGTGGCATAATTTTCCTGAAGTTATGTTAGGATGAAGTAACATTTAAAACATGTATGCCAATCCTTTAGATTATTGAATTTTCTTATATTATTAATAAACAAAGAGCCTTAAACTGTTAAACCTTGTTTTTATAACCTTCTAATTGTTATTGGAAAATGTCATTAGCTTAGTAGAAATGAATTTTGAAATGCTCAGTATGATTTAAAGATTTCAAATGCCAAATCAAAAGCACTGATATAAATTTAAATGCATATAATTTGTCATGTATTAGTACTTTCTTGACTAGCGTTAGTCACCAGATATTACAGCACTGCTAACAGTGTTGCCACACCGCAACTGTTGTAGGTTAGCCTGTTGCGATGAACTATATGCTACCCACTTTCTGAATTCCATTAAAACGAGAAAATTGACTTTTGATACAAATTTCTATTTCTTACCCTTGTATTCAGTTCAAAGTGTGATTATAGTATACAACTCTATACAGCTTGTAATGCCAAATAAAATTTAGCCAATAACAAAATAGGTGGTTAAAACCAAGCAAATTAAACACATATTTTTTTCTCTCAATGATTTTATTACATAAATAATAAAGACATAAATGTATTTACAAATACAAAAACTGTTTAATTCAGTGCTCAGATTGATGTTAAGATGTAACTTAATAAATTAACTGTGCTAAAGTACAATTTACAATAAATACAATACTTTTATTTAATGGAGAAATCTTTTTATACCAGCCACAATGATACATACTAAGGTTTTTAAACCATGGATTTATATTAATCTCAAGAATTTGTTGTTTCTTACCTTACTGACCCTGTAGAATTGATAATTTATTTATTAGTATAAAAGAATAGGATTAGGACAACCTAAATTGGTCTTCCTGTGTCCATATATTATATTGTTGGCGAGTGTTTTTATTACCAGGTAAAAAGAAATTGATGGAAATTCAAATTCACAAATAAATCCAAAACCCTGTATAAATTACATTGCCTCAATGAATACTTAGGTTTGCTGCTAAATTGAACTTGGAAATGTTTGTTTTGTTTCAAGTTTAAAATCTTATGGTGAAATTTATAGGAATAGCAAACTTCATTCCTCATAAGGACAACACAAGACAACAAACTGTGTTAAGCACTTAAATATTTCGGTAACCAGTGATTTTAGGTTATGCAATTAAGGATTGTTAAGGTAAGAAACAGTGTTGATCTTGATACACATAAGTTGAATGATTCAAGTTGACTAGCAGACAACCCAGCCAAGTTTGTAACATTTAACATTCAGCAAGACATTTCAGTTTTGTATGATTATTATAACCAATCTAAAGATAGTAAAACCACAGACAACTGATACTGAAATAGACTTTGCATCCATATAACCCAGTGATATGTTTAAATAACACAAGCAAATCCACAAAAGATAAGGTACTAAAGATTTATATCAAACCATTTTTCTCTGTCCACTACAACCGTACTAACTTTACTTTAATACTTTTAACTGAAATGGCGACCATACCGAAGGTAGGTATTTTAAGCCAAGTATGAATGTGAGACATATGGTTCAGTACCAGTGGTCAACGGTAAAATACAAACCATGCCACAAACTATAAAGGCACTAAATACAAACATACTTACAAATCTAGTTTGATAATTCTCACCACATATCAGCCTTTATTAAACCCTCATGCTGGGTTTCTATGGAAAATTGGGTTCCCTTAGCTAACACATTAGCTGCGGTAAGCCGCCTACACTAGTGTGCGATTCTCCAAACAAATTTGGAGTTTACAATTATGCGGTTGAGCGTGAATGGATCTAGAAAACTCCATTTTCATGCTAATTTTCCCCTTGCAGATTTATTCCCTTTTCTATTTCTCACCTTCACAATCCATGACTCTGGGCTCTAGCTGAGAATTATTGTTTTACACATTACTCCAGACTGGTCCTATAGGGTTGCGGCATTATCACAGATAAAATTCATTAATGATTTGACCCGAAACCTCATGGAATTAAGCCTCTCGCTCTACCACTAGACCAGCTCCCAAACTGCACTTAATAGTAATAGAACTTGTGCTTCTGTAAAACTTGTAACCTAAAAAACTGTAAAACCTACACCCCAAAACAGCCACACAGTACATTGCTATACTGTAGTTCTGTTTTTGGTTAAAATCGAGTTTGAACAATTTTTATTTTGGTGAATCGGTGGCTCAGTCGGTAGCGTCGCGGACTTCGGGCCCAAGGCAGTACTGTCGTGGGTTCGGATCCTGGTCACTACCACTAACTTTAATCAGTACAGTTTACCTTTGTTCTGTACCGGCTCACCCCTTGCTTTGCTGGATACGTTCCACGCACAGATCTGTAGTCTATGTGGACGGGCAAATGCAAGGTTAAAAGAGGCCGCCAACCTCTTTTATAAAAAAAAAAATAAAAAAAAATATTTCCATCAACCAGTGACTTCCTGGCAGCCAATAAAGTTGTACTACCGCAGCGAATGTGTTAAGTTATAATTCAATGATTTTTTATACTACAGCCACTAACTTAAAGTAAGTTACAACTTCTCACTGAATAACTAATTACAAAACTCTAATGTTTGTTTCCGTTGTCGGATGAACAACAAAGGGGTTTCAAGCAAAACTAAAACACAAAACGACAATGGTAAACACATTTGTTGAAACTTAACATATCAATATTCCCAGCAGACCTTAGTATCGAAATCGTTGTTGAATTGTAAAAGTTGTTCTTCCTATTCACAGTAGAGTCCCACAAAATAGAGGAATGCTTGTTTTAGAAGCTCTCGTAACTTGTTAAAAATAGGCTAATATTTCAATTTAAAAGTTTAAAAATTCAAGAACTGAGATTGATATCAAGTCGTAAAGTAAAAATTGGGATGTGTTTTTGAGTAAGTGTTATAAAACATGACAAAATGTTGAATAATGCAATTATTAGTTAAGCGGTACGTGGAAATGTATTTTTATTTCCATTATTTAACCAAACACTTGTCTTGCGTTATGTGAACATTTTAAACTAATTATAATTTCAAAAATATTCAACTTTGTGAGCCTCTACCACATTGACTAAATATATCTTAAGTTAAATAAATCTTATTATGTTTTATTCAGTAAACATAAGAGTTAAAAAAAACACAAATAACAATGACAAAGAAACATATAAACTAAAATGTATAACCTATATAACGTTTAACTCTCTTTTCAAAAGTCCCAATCCATATTACAAAATAAATTAACTTTATATGACCGTATTGCCTGAACTGTCATGTTATAATGACAGTAATGTTTTGACGCAAATCTTTGGTAAATACTTAAAATATTTTCCATAGGAAATCATACATGTTTGGCACTTTTAAGTGTTAATTTATCAATTGTCTGTAACTCCACTTGCTTTTGATTTCAACAAAAATAACGCTGGGTATCCTTACAATATTTATTATTAGGCTGTGTTTATTATCACGGTGTACGCTATTATTAGGTTAAAATAGACCTTTTTCATTGAAGAATATTAATAATAAATAATATATAACAATCCCTGACGTGTTTGAGGTTTTAAAAATATATTTTTTCTATCTTACAATAAAACTATACCATTATTTTATGAAAACCCTGAATTGTTCAGCAATAACTTTTTGATCAGTGCACTATAACAACATATTTAATAATCAGACTCAAAGGTAACTCCAGTTGACTGGATTTTAGTTTGGTCAATTTTTAAAGCTATAATCCAGTGCCTAATTGTTGAAGATGGTGAAATTCCTTGAGATGCCCAAAAACTTCTTAGTTTATACAATATCTGAGAAGGCATTGAGATCGAGTAACGGTATAAAATATTGAAATTAGACTTAAGATCAAAGGATACAGAAGATTGGAGGTAACCGAGCTGATACCGAGGAGTCAGTCTGAAGTAAACATCTGAAATTAGGAAAATTAATTAGAGTACAAAGCTCGCTCATACACTCTACTGATACAGTAGGTAGACATCGCTTTTTAGCTTAATTTTTTGCCTCAAGTTGTTGTGAACTAGTGTTGTTAAGAACTGCCTGCAACAATTTTCTTTGGAAACTTAGTTATGTGTCCGTCAGGGGTGCCCAGCCCCCCCAAAGGCAATGGCGCATGCCCCCCCAAACCAAGCCTAATGCCCCCCCCCCCCCCAAAGCATGACATCTACACTCCACCCTTTCATTTATAACATTAGTCAGTATATGTCAGTAAAATTGCAAACCTTGGTTTTTAAGGCTACACACTTGACTCCAACCAAAGGACTATATCACGAAAATGAAATTGCACAGATGCAGAATTGTTGTAGCTACTGGATTACAATGTGTCATTTTCCTAAGTTCAACAGAAAATTATCAAATTTCTCTTCTCTAGATAGCACCAAAAAAATCTGTGTACGGACTTCACGATAAAACATCGTCGTGCGTGGTCATGTCCTACAAAATATGGCGACTTCTTGGCCGCATCCCGCGATCACGGCAAAGTTGTGGTTATCTCCCTCGATCACAGAAACTTTGTGATTATTTCTCGTGGATCACAGACGCTTAGTTATTTTATGCAAATGCGATTTTCGTGAGACAACTATGTGAAGAGAGAATAAACGGCGATTTGTGGTGAACTTTATTGGTGATTATTAAAAAGTAACAATTTCTTAGATAATGAATGTATGATATGATTGTATTCACAAACCCTACCCCGTTAATCAACATTTTAAAGTACAATTCGTTGTTTTTCCGGTCGGCTGAACCCCCTGAACATTTTTGCATTACATTTTGCTTTAAGTAATTTTTCTTCTTAATTTTGTCTCTAAAGGGCAATATATTCTATTGAGTTTTAAAAAGGAAACACAAATAGGTCAACTGATTCCCATATTTTAAAATAAAACAAATTTCACACTAATTCTTTTCTCAAATTTCTCACTCATTTTAAGGTAGATTATTGTGTGATTTGGGTTAAATTGTGCCCTGATGCGTTCCTATCTCTTTTGTCATATTGCATAATTTTTAAAGCAAACTAAGTTACAAAACAGTATTTTTCATGTAAAGATAACCAGTGGCGTAGTCCGACTGCGCCCCAATGCAAGTATTCCCCGTGCACCCCTACCCACACATAACCTCCAACGAAACTAACAACAACATTCCTCCGTACTTCCACACTGCTTCCTGGATACTATTTCACTACACATGACATTGTAAAAGCTCTATCCAATTAGAGAAAGATCGCCCAAAGATACAGTTCGAATATACAGTGTTGTAATTGGCCTATATTTTTCAAGCCTACAATGACAAAGACATTTTTTTTTAAAGTTTAGTAAAGCATTGATTTATTGTTTCCATGATGGTTAGGGTTATCTTTTAAATAATACTGTAACCAGATGTTTTGCATTAGGCCTAAATAAATTACCAAATTAATAAACTTAGCAGTAAATATAGTATAATGTTGGGATCATTAAAAATTACACCATTAAACATTGGAACGGGTTATTACTGTATTGATATTGTAAATTTTATCCTAAAGTTATAGGCTTAAATTACATTCCAAGGGTATGTCGAAAAATCTAATTGAAAATAAATAATAGTCTGATTTTAAAATACCATCTGAATGACTATATTTTACAGGCTCTATCTAAAAATCATAATTATTTGTGATATTCATGCAAAATAAAAAGGTACAATGTAATACAAGCACGCTTGCAGACGACTGTTGCCTACTCATCCTCTACTAATGGCTGTGACCAGGGTTGCCAGTCGAGCCATTAGGTCTACGAACCGTCATCAAACCAGAACAAAACATTTACCGATTGACGGGAAAATTTCGTTGTTGGTCTAAAAGGCAAACTTAAATAACGTTTGTAATCCTGATTAAATGGTTAAATAAGTAAACAGTGCTTTTTACTGTTGCGTATGATTGTAGTAATTTATTTTTGTAATTTTCCTGTAAACCTTTGCTGGTATAAAATCCCTTCCAAAAAAAACAAAATCCCGCCCAAAAAATCATGCCCCCCCCTTCTGGGCACCCCTGGTGTCCGTTACTTCTTAAATGAAAATGAAAATCATAGTTTAACTCAAAAAAACTATCCTCGTATTCAAAGAATTTTGTGGTGGATAGGATGGACATCAGGTTTACCTTACGGCCAAAAATAGTGCTTTAAACATATGAAACAAATATTTTTGGAACTACAGTAGAACCTCTTTCATCCGAACTAATTGGGACCAGGGGTAGTTCGGACTAGTGAATAGTTCGGATTACAGAACATATTGTTGTTTTTACATAACAATAGCTAAAACATGGCTAAAATTGATCTAAATTATTTTGGGACAAGTGAAAAAAATGTTTTATAAATTAAAATACAGTGTTTATTTAATACAGTAGTAAACATGGTGAATAAACAGTACTGTAAATTAAATACAGTATACAATAAAGAACTGCTGTACTGTGTATAGAGTACAGCAATGAGGGGTTCGGATTAGTGGACGTTCGGATTACGGGGGTTCGGATTAAAGAGGTTCTACTGTACTAGCTTCTTCAGTACGTCAATCTTTGTTCTTGAAGGTTGTTCTAATCCATCAATTTGGACTGTCTGCCTTACCAAATGGCAGTCCTGGACCAGAACAGCCTACAAGAACTAGGACTCTACTACTGTCTTATTGTACTTATACATAACCTTTACTTTTGTGATGTGTCAGATGATGCCAGCATAGGTGGCGAACGGCCTCATGAAATTAAAAATTTACTAAATATTGGCGATGTTTATATTTTAAATTGTATTAATTCCAATTATACCAGTTCTTCTTGGAGAAAACTCTACTACTGAAGAAGGAGCTATTATACTCAGTTCACACAATTTCGGCGGTTTTAGGGGAAAAAACCATCCCCTCCACGTGTTGATCCTATTTAAGCATATAACTCAAAAGCTGAGATTTGTCAACACGTTAATCAGCTGCCACCTATGTGGCCACTCAAACCTCAGTAGGTTTTTGGCCTCGCCAACAACATACATTAAGCAAAAAAAAGTGGTGGGGGAACTTCGCTTATGCCTAAATTTTGTGAACAGATTATAGTACTAAAAATTCTATTTTTAATGTTGTTACACCTAAATTCAACTGTATCTGTGAGGTGAGCATTACAATCCGTTTATTTGATCCTCCACAAAATCCTTTAAAACCTTGGCCAAAAGCCATCTTTACCAAATAATACGTGAGATTCAATACTCACTAAACATTAGACGTGGCGCATCAGAAGACATAACTCTTGAACGCCGCCGTCCACGCGGTGCAGGTCGTCCAGGGTGGAAACTTGGACAGTAGCCTACGCAGCGGTACTGACCTCTGGTCTGCCCCATGGACAAAATGACCTCCGACCCCCATGTCCACCAGGGGACCTCTGTGACCCGGTGGGGTCTGTGAACAGAGGTGTTACAGTTGACCTTTGCTATTCCCGCCAGACCATGAACATATGGTATAATACAACTTACTCTTACTCCCGTTTAAAACCAAGAATGTTTCTGTTACCAACAAACTTTCTACACTTTTTTTGATTCTGTGGGTTTTCCTCTTCAGCTGTCAAAATGTTAATGTTTTACAGACATCCTTTTGACTTCTGGGTTGAAATGTAAGATGCATGTGCCCAGGCACGGTTTAACCCATGAAAGTAAACATTTTATGATGGTTTGGCTACTCCCATCGCTTCTTCGGTGGTTGTCCAATCATCTTCCATCCAGATGTTACTTATTTTATGATCGCCTCATCTCTCCTCCCAATCTTACAAGCAGTCCACCTCAAATGTCTGCTTATGCTGGAACCATGGTTAGTGCTTGAGACAGGTCTCTTAGATCCCTGATATTTTAATCCCTACTTAATCAATTTCTCAAAGATTTCATGCCAAGGCCTACTTTATATTCAAAACAAACTTTTATTCTTGCCTTGACATTGCAACCAGTCTTCAGGAAGTAGCAGTCACGGAATAAGGGATTCCACCCTTCAGATTGGAATTTAGAGTTAGCCGAATAACTAGGGGTGTGCGAAGCAGCAAAAAATTTTCGATTCGAAGCAACGATTCGATTCAAAAGATTTTCGATTCGATTCGATGCAACTCGATTCGAAGCAATACGGTATTTTTCTATTCATAATTGTCAATTGAGTGGATTAACAATAATTAAAATTTATCACATTTGTGTAATACAAATTTTTGTTGATGTGGTATTAGGCCTATTCATACTTACATATGAATTTTAGGTGAAAAAATATTTATTTTCAATCATATGTATTAGAATAACTGCTGGAAATACCAGTGAGCTGCTTTACTTGCCTATTTCATAATTTTTACTTGGAATTGGCTCATCTGCAAGAAAGAAGAAAATATTTTTTTTATCAAGACATTCATTCTCATTTCAATAACTGTTTAAATAACTAAATAGGTACCGGTAGCTAAATTACAACAAATTTGAATGGAACTTAATATAAAAAGACCATTAAGAAATAAATTTACATATCACAAGTTTAGGGCCTGTGGACCGGCTTCAGGACTGCAAGCAAGAAGAAAATAAAAATAATATGTTTCCACCATGCAACATGTATCATTCATTCCCTGCCTCCTAACCTCCTTAGTATAATAACCTCACACTTACATTATTTGTTACATCATCATAAATAAAGAATTATTATTGGCATCAGTAGGCCTACAGCTTTACATAGGCATTATTTTTATAGGGCCTAAAATAGTAATAGGATAGAAGCAACATGTCAAGTGGAGAACTCATTGAAGAAAAGATATTGTGTAAACTAATTTCCTATAAAACTCAAAAACAGTAAATAACATACAAACATTGTTTATGGTATAATTAATAAGGACTAAAAAATGCATATCATGTCATACAGTAGTATAGACCTACCGGTACTGCAAGAGATTAAAATCCTAAAACAACTGATTTTGATAGCTAATGAATGAAAAGAATTAAAAATCCATAAAATGAAGCTAAACAATATCACAACTAATTAGGTACCCGAAAAGTAACTCTTAAATAATATATAGAAGATTAAAATAATATTAAATCAAGAGACAAGAAAGTTAAATGCTATCTTCTAGTGCCCTTGGCAACACAGGTCAATGTTTTTAAACTACCCTCAATGTTTTTGGAACAGCAGGGCCTTTTTCTCTTAAGGAAGGGTAGTAGTATGTCAACAAAAACAATGAATCAGTCTCACCAGCCAGGCCCGGGCAACGATGTGTGAATTCAAGGTCATAGACCCTCCCCCTCCCCTCTTACACCACCCGGTTGCTACCCAGTTGCTTCAATTGCTGACAAAATGCAAGTGATGAAACAAGGAAGTAGAGACAAAGAAATATATTTCTTTATTCAAAAACACAAAACTGTTAGAGATTATTTTCAAAGAAATTTAGACGACTAGACCTGGCTCTGGCTAGTGGCAGTGCGGCAATTGCTCTGTTGTGTCTTTATTCTTAAAGGTCGTGAGCCAACTTAATTTTTAATTCTCATTTGAACATTTTAATTCCTCTGTAATAGATATAATAATATAAGAGTGTTTCTTTGGAAATAAATTATTCTTTTTTTTCTTTTGCCCCAACAAAAATTCGGGGACGGGGACCGACAGACACCTAACAAAAATACCAAATGTATCAGTCTATAACATTGATCTTACTAGTTAAGTATTAAGAAACAATTTTTCAGACTTATTTTTAAAATGATTTTGGAGTAACCTACCTTGTTTTGGCTAGGTTCACAGTAGTAAAATATTTCACACACTGCTTACATCAAGACAAAAAACAAAACCTCTAATCATTTGCAATGTCAAAACAAAAAAATATAAAACAATTAAAGCTATATTTAATGCAAAGAATGTATTAAATAAGAACGCCTTCGTAAAGGAAACGCAACAGCAACGCGCTCCTGTATTGCGGGTATTGCATTGACTTTCTGCAGGCGTTTTTCGTATATGGATACTGACTCCCTCGTGAATCGAATCGTTTTTTGACCACCACTGAATCGAATCGCGATTCGATGCATCGAATCGAATCGAATCGAAATTTCGATGCATTTTCGATGCATCGCACACCCCTACGAATAACTATTCCCAACTAAACAAGATGGTAGAGCAAAAACTAATAGGAATAGCAATACGAGGCAAATGAAAAGAGACAAATTACCTGAAAGTCGACCCAGAAGTGCCACGGTTCTGGGTCAGAGGCGTAGGCAAAGTAGACGAAGTACGTCGGTCGTCCGTTGAAATTGACTAAACTTTTCAACGGCTCACCCGGATCTAGACTCCATCGGAGTAGCTGTACACCAGGGACTGGTGACATCACTACACTCATGTGATGGGATCCTGTGATGTCAATATTAATATCATAAACATGTATCATTAATATCATATACAATGTAGAAGAGTTATGACAAATTGGTAGACCAAGCACTAATGATTCATCCAAGTTAACCATGAACAATAGATGAATAGATGGTCAAACTCTCAAAATCTGAATTCCAAATTTTTTAAATGAATTTCAATTTTGAGTTTTTAAGGATTTGAAATATTTCAGGTTTTAAGGTTGTAGGTTTTGAAGTGGATTAGTGAGGGATTACGATTGGTGTAGTGACGTAGTTTTTGTGGTTGGTAGGATCAGTATTCAACAGACACTAAACTAATTTCCATAGAATCAAAATGTCTCAAGACAGTTTCCAAACTTACCTCTGGCTCTCAATTTCAGTCTGACAACATCGTTATGTCTGTCCTCCCTTTGTAGCAGGGTCAGGTCTGTCACTACAGCCACATTGGGCTGTGGGGCTGGTATCCAGTGTCCTTGCCTGCAAAAATGGTGGTTTATAACCATGCAGTGAAGCATTCTTGGTTCTAACCACAATTCAAAGACCTTTTCAATTGTTTTTCGTAAACATTTTCAAGTTTAATTTTTTATGGAAATATTGGTATAGGACTATAGGGTTTCCCATAACACAAAAAAGTGGTTTTTGAAGTGTTCTTTGTGTGTGTGGATGAGTACACTTCCACCTGTGGTCCTAAAATGAAATTTGGTTACCAACCCATAGCATCTCCAGGCCTTTTTTATTTTTGTTTACTCCGACGATTTTTATAATAATTGAGTACTATGTTATGGTTGTTATAGTTCCAAACAAAATGGAACAATCCCAAATTCTGTAAAAAAAATTACTGCTATAAATGTAGGCCTATTACCATTTTATTTTATTTCCCCCATAATGTTAAGGTTGCTCCCACCCTTTACCCAAGAGTTGTTGACAATCTAATGGGAGAAAGTATGTGTCAGATTGCTGATACTGATTATTTTAAAACGATTAAGTGTGTTGGTCTCACCACACGATTGAGTAGACAGGTATGAGGTACGGCAAACCGCAATACAGCTCAGTTCGACACTCCTCGTCTATGAGCTCGGCCTGCGCCACCTCGGGGACCAGCGACGCCACCGATCTGGGACTGTTGACGTCCATGTTGACAACCCAGAACCCAGCTTTCTGAGAGCGCACGGCGCCCTCGTAGTTGTGGTACATCCTGTCCACGTGCTGAACACAGTCACACAACGGATAAGGGGGATGGAAATTTTCTATTAACATTTTTGGTTCACGTTATTAAGTGTTTGGTTTGAGTCTCATTGTTTTTCTGTAATCGTTTTTGTATTACAGTAGAACCTTGATAACAAGACCCTCATGGGGATTATAACATAAGTCTGGTTATCAAGGTTGACTTCTTATTGACTTTTGCAATAACATGTGTTTAGAGGTAACATAAATTCAAGGGAATTTGAAAAATACACTTGTTACCAAGGGTCTTCTTATCGAGGTTCCACTTGTTTTAGGATTATGTAATATACATGTTGCATATGTGTAGAAAGAATCACATACACTAGTTAGGTTGGATAGGCTAATTAGGTAAATGTAGATATACATATCCCCTTGATAACAAGAGGAGTTTCCCTCCCAAAAAAGATTGTGATTATAACACTTAAGTTACTGTGGATATAGAAAATGTCATCCATTCTTTTAAAAAAAGAACTCTATAAGGCAAAATCAGCACAGACTGAAGCTCTATGAAAAAAAACCAACATATGTTGGTGAACAGTTTTTAAAATTAATCCCAGAAAATATTAATAAAGAAAAAAATGCAATTAAATTTAAAAGACAACTGAAAGCTTATTTAATTAACGAGGTAATTTACTCGCTGGATGAATTTCTAAACCTCCCTCTTAAATAAATAAACTATATATGAATGTATCAACAAAGCTTCCTTAGATGAATTGTAGGAAATAATGTTTAATTTATGCATTGATAATTTTAAGAAACCTTTGATTATACTTTTTCATACCTGTATTTTGACACTATTTATGTATGTTATATGCTACTTACAAATAAAGATTATTTGAATTTTGAATTTTACCTGAAAATTTAAATAACCATCCTTAACCATCCTTTGCAAACATGAGCTTAAAACATTACATTCAGGTATTCTATAGAATGCCCTGAAGGCAGGTGGTGTTTCTATCCAGGCTTTTACATATCCTAAAGTTTAGTCTAAGTATGAAACAAAAGCCATTAAATCCCAGTATTTCACTTAATAATTGCATAAAATTCCCCGTTTTCGCTGCAAGTTAAGTATAAAAGACAGTTTCAAAACACAACCAAATTTAGTCTGACAAAACCTAAATAACCAAGTCTAACCTAAACAAACTTTAACCTGATTCAAATCAAACCAAAATCTGTAATGCCTTTTCACATACACGACATCGTAAACAATACACAACGTGAAATGATCGTGGCTGGTGAAATGATCAACAAAATCATTACTTTGTGACATACTTTAAGAGCTTTGGAAATCGTTCCTGGAAAAGTAGGCCTAAAACTTTACTGGTACTTTTAAAGTTAGTACTTTTGCCGCTAACAGACAAATATTGTAAGGAATAGTACCCTGAACCCAAAGTGCTGATATAAGCATAATAATCCCCCATAATTAATTTTATAATAATCTCCCAATTGAAATTAAATCAGAGACTTCCAAAACAATATTTAAAAATAAATTAAAGAGATTTCTCATCAGCAAGGCTATTTTTTCTTTTGAAGAGTTAAATAGTCTTTGAAGTAAAAAAAAAAAAATTCAATTTATGTATTTTTTGTTTAGACTTAAAAAAAAATTAAGTTTGTGAAATTTTGTTTTTATTTTATTATGTTAGAAATGTATTTAATAACTATTAGGCCTAAGCAACTGTTGACACTATTCAATGTATTATGTACAGGAAATGAATAAAGTAGTTTTGAATTGAATTGAATTGAAGCAGACACTGTTCAGATTGCCCTAAGTCGGCTGGGTGATGACCAATACGGCTGCCCTCCAAAAAAGGATGTTATAGCCAAACACCTTATATTAACTAGCCTATGGAAGATGATAAACAAGATGGGGGAGGAATAAGAACAGGAGGTTGTTGGAGTCTAGCAGGGTAAGGAAAAAGAGGAGAGAAAATCACAAACCGGGATATAGCACAGAAGAGCATACAATCAGACACATTTCCAAAAAGTTTCAGATTTCATTGTAAAAGTAACACGCCACACTTACGACTATCATGAACCGCTGAGGCGTCGGGTGTACAGGGTCGCTGGAGTACGGAAAGCCGAGAGGCGTCAACACCAAGGTAAGAACTGACACGGCGAACACAGCCGTGAGAAAACTGACGACTCTCTGCGGGTTACGGACCAGCAAGATCATCGGCACCTGCCCCATCACAAGTGATGAAATAACATTAGACAATGTTGTTAAAATTGTACTTGTTAAATTGTTGTAAAATTTTGTCTTAATTTATCAATGCGCATAAGGAACACAGGTCTAGGTTTAAAGATGGGATGGCAAGGTAATGTGGATTTGAAGTCAAATCTGGCAAAAGAAACACAACCTAAAATATTGCAAAGTAAAGCCCATTGGCTGGTAAAGAATTTACTTACAAGGACTAGAGTTCAGCTAGCTTACCTGATGAAAGTCCAGGGACTAACAGATACACAAAACATAACGCTGCTAGTACATCCTGATGTAGGACTTCGTCACAGAATAGGTTGGAGGGAAAATTCTCCAATCTAATAATTTTTCCCAACAACCTACTCTTAGGTTTGAGATATATTCTCAGATCCACAAAACTCAATAATATACACTTTTAGCTTCCAGATACCTTCACTCAGTGTCGGTTCTAGAACATTGTGAAGGGGAGCTACCGGGGGGTTTGCCGGAAAATGGGGTATTTTTAGTGCCTTTTGAAACCTCCCAATTCACCTAATTGTTATGAGCAAGTAGATTAATTTAAAATCAAACTATGACGATTGCGCGACAAAATGTATGTTTCAATTTATTTTTCCAGAGTCCAATTGGGGATCTTAAGCCCTTGAAACCGCTACTGCCATGACGTCCTCAATACTTAAGTCCAAGACTAACTTACAATAAAGGTGAGTAGCAGCATAAACATGGCGGTGGCTAGAAGAGACAACACCAGCTCCGCATGGTTACCGGAGCCGCTCCGTCCCATGATGGGGACAATCAATAGTAGAGCTCCGTTGATCATGTAGCCGTTCTGTATATAAGGCAGCAACATGACACCCATAATAACTAAGATCCACTTCCAGTCCCCTGCAGACAGAACAGATGTTAGTTAATTCTTGCAGCCTTTGACTATTGACAAAAGATGATAGCCGAATGCCATGTTAGACAGAAATGTAGCCAGTTTCAAGAAATATACGTTGCCGACACATCTAACAGAGTGAACTGATGTAAATTACTGATTTCTGTTTAATAATAACTTTTTGACAAAGCTAAACTGAAAGGACAACTTATTGGAAACTTTTGCATGTTATATGACACAAAACTATCACAACAGAAACTAAAGGAGAAAATAGGTTTAGGCTGTACCTGACTCCGTGAGTAACTGATTCATCTACTAACTTTTTGAATTTAAAAAAATCTACATCTCAGAGTCCTAGTAAATCAATTGTACTTAGGATCTATTTTTTGTCCTTGGGTACTAGGATCTAGCCTGGGATTGTTTTTCACATTACTACTAAGTGTTGCGGCATTATCATTTGGATAAATTCCATCAGTGATTAGCAGGATATGAGAATCCTTACATTAAGAAAGGCATCTGGTAAACATTAACCCTTTGAGTGCCAACGTCCGGGGAACCGGACGTTTTTAAAACGAGCCAAAAGTGCTGACGTCCGGCCGACCGGACGTTTTTAGAACGAGCCAAAAGTGCCAACGTCCGGCTGACCGGACGTTTCGTAATGATCGAACAGTTGTCATAACAACCGAATGGATACTCGGATTCTTTTAACCCATATATTAACATTGAGTCGAAAGTTACTAGATGCGGTACATCGATTTTCGTTGGTCGAAATATTAAAAATTCAATTTTTACAAAATTTTAACCTAAAAATCGCCAGATCGCGCTCGGCATTTTTAGCGCGACCTTCGGGAAAAATCATCGGCATTTTTTTAGCGTTACTTTTATTTCTCGCCTGGCACTCTAAGGGTTAAGAAATAGGGGTAAGTGAATGTAGAGAGAAAGATGGACAGCTAAGAGAGCTTTACAAACATTTCTGAAGCCAGCAATCTTTGAATACCCTGCAAATTTCTGTCAATAAAACAACAGCTTTAAGATAAGCTGTTTGAACAAATTTTACTGCTACAAAATAAAGACAATCAAGACAACACTGTTAGTAAGTGATGAAGCTACTTGTTGTTTTTTTAAGGTTTTAACTACTAACATACAAATTTTACCCACTTGTGTGAAATTAAAAAGCATGTAAAACACCTTTCTTAATTTGCATTATTGCATTAAATTATCAGTAAAATTAATGATATAAAACTACTTTAACCAAATTGTTATCTACGGTGCAATGTACACAAACAAATGGTGACTTAATTTTATGAGTAGTGAACGTAATTTATTTGTTAATGAGTATAAGTGAGGAACACCTCTGTACTTGGCAAGGGTGCGCTGGGTTAGAACGTTCGCCACTGAAGCAAAGGACACCCACAATGCGACGATAAACCCGGAACGAACCCTGAGAACAATGGCCACTACCAGGAACAACGTGAACAACAGCTGATGAGCGTCCCAGAACAACCTGAACTGCAGCCACCGTGATGGAACAACCTGGAAAACAATTGTGAAGTAACTAAAAAGTTAAGTAAATGATAAATGATTAGACAATACTAAATACATGTGTAATGTCTCAAAAACTGAAAATACTTTTAGTTCATTGAGTTGAGTGTTGTAACAAACAACACAATTTAGCATGAAAATTTAAATAAAATGGCAGGCTTATAAAAAAATAGCTCTAATTAAAGATTATAGGAGCTTGAAAAGCGTAATGACAAAGATCCTATTCTGTTGTAATTTTGGAGTTAGGGATTAGGAAACGCATTGCCAATTGCTTTTCTTACTCTCTCTTGTACACGACTTTTAAGTGCCAAAAAAAATCATTTGCAACCAACTATACGAGATAATAGGCGTCCTCTCAGTCTATAGTGAAACATATTTATCAATATTGGTGCCGACTAGTTTTGTTTTGTTTTTTTTGGAAGCTTGACGATGTGGCAAAATTACTCAGCACCATTTTGTTAGTGGAAATTTGGATCACAGATGGAGGTCCGGAGGCTACACATTGAATATTTATTACTGTATGATTCTAATAAAACCAAAATTATCTTATTACAAAACAAAACCATTTTACAAGATAATCTAACCTTTTTCTGGCGTCTAGCCGCAACTAAGACTACTGTCAATGCAGTTGTGAGACTTGGCACCACGTAGAGGAACATGATCCACACAGGACGAGAATACCAACTCATGGCTCTGTTGAGTAGAGTGAGAACAGTGGCGATAACAGCTACTGATAACAGAGACAACAGCCACCAGCCCAGGATGACCAGTCCACACGTCACCAGCTGTTGACTGTATATGTGCTTCGCTAGACCTACAAACATGGTGAGAATCAACCTTTAAAACAGAAGTTGCGATTATTCCACATATTTCAGCCGCTGCAGGGTCGGATAACATTGAAAGTAATACAAAACACATTGTAAACATGTAAAAAAATCTTCATTAAAATCTATTGGCTACAAGTCCGTTTTCCATTGAAACCATCAGGAATTTAAAACAAATAACTGGTAAACACCAGTCATAGACTAAGCAAAACAAGTAGAATTTTCATCCCATTGTAAATTTGGAAGCTTGTTTTTCATGTCTAGTTCATGTACATCAACACGACACTGATCGCTAGCGTAGATGAAATTTTTGTTTCTAGTATTTTGGAGTTGTTTTCATGATGCGTGTTTAACTGTTTGGTTGTATAACTGAACCAATTATTGTTTATGATTAGATCGTTTTATTTGGTTAAACAAAGTTTTGAATTACTGAAATAAAAAGAAATAAATTGTAAACAAAACACGACCTCTACAGTACGAAGTACAGAACTAACAATAAAATTGGCTTCAGTTGTTCCATAAGGATGACAAATCTACTAGGGAGTTTGTTTTATCCATGCCAGTACTTTAACCCTTTCCACTCAGATTAACGGGAGGCCCATTTACTCACCAGCTCCATTTAATTTTAGCCAAATTTGCACACTTCATTTATTTGCCAAAAAAACAAATACTGTCTTTATTTGTAGAATGCTGGTAATTTTTTTCCTAATTCTGTATGAACCAAAGATCATATTTAGGATATAGAAACCAGTATATATATTTAAAAAATTTATTATACATTACTCATAAAAAAAAAAATTTTTTTGGAGAAAATAAAAAAATTGGAATAACAAGATTTTTTACAATTTTTTTATAGAAATAAGAGTATAAAAGTGTTTTATTTACATTGTGTATGTCCTTATATATATATTGAAGTGATTTACATAGCTAAAAGACACAATTTTATGCGAAAAAAAAATATATTGAAAAATATGAATTTTTGCTAAAAAAAAAGTTTTTGTGAAAATATCAGTTTTTGTAGCGACTAATATCTTTTTAGGCAATATTAATTTTGCTGTTGCTTAGAAACCAAATATTTATGATGTAAAGAGAAAAAGTATTTTTTCTTCAAAACTGTATTAGCTGAAAAACATAAATAAAACAAGAACTAGGCCTAAATATTTTATCTCGCTTGTACGCTACTCCGCTTCAATCACAAGCAAGAATAGGCCTAAAATAATAATAACATAAAATAAACACAAGTTATATAAGAATTTAAACAGTGTTTTTGTCAAAGAACTAGACATACCTCATTACATCTTATAGTTTTTCAGGGTATGGTAGCGTTCAAAGCACTGCCCTGGGTGAAGGCCTGGTTTTCTTGCACATGTAGCACAGAAATACACTGTTTCTCTTCTCTGTCCAGCTTTCCTGTTGCTGCAAACAGCACAGTCCTTGCTGTTGCTTTTTTCATTGGCATAAATAAAATGAGGTTTTTTATCTAGCCTATCTTCTTGGTCAGCTGAAGAAGGACGACCTCGCTGTGAATAAGATTTGTTACGTACACCAGAAACAAGTTCAGTAATCAGCATTTCCCTAAATCTCTTCGAATCAATGGGAGTTTTCCCCTTATTCTGTAAGTCCATGTTATATAGCAGGAGGCTGTTGACGACACATACTTCCATAAGCCAGAACCACAGTTTTCTCCACCACACTTTAGATTTCCGAACAAACATGTAGGACGAAATGTAATGGTCGGCAGTGTCGACTCCTCCCATTCTCTCGTTGTAATCGCATACAACAACTGGTTTGGACACAATTTCATCTTCTTTTCTTCCCTTCTCTCTTCTTTTTACTAACTGCATATCCGAGTTATGATACGAACTCATCATAATTACGTGTCTCTGGTCCCGCCACACCAACACCAAGACATTGTCTTTGTGACGGTAGGCTGCTGTCTCATGTTTCTTCAAAAGACCCTTTAGCCTTTTCTTATTTACATTACTGGGATTACCTTGACGGTTTGAATTAACTGTACCAGTGAGATGCATTTTCATCTTTAGCAACTCTTGAGCTAATGACAAACTTGTATACAATCGGTCAGTATATATGTGGAAACCGCAATCTGGCCCACATACTTGCCTCACTCTTAGTGCCAACAGCAAAACAATTCTGGTAGTGAATTGCAGGTCAGGGTAAGGTAATATCTGCGATGTAGCTGAGCCATAGTATGGCTCAAACGTGAAAATGTATCCTGACCTGGCATCAGATACAACAAAAACCTTTAGACCCCATTTAATTGGTTTTTTGGGGTTGTATTGCTTGAAGTACACTTTTCCTTTGAACGAAATTGTACTTTCGTCCATAGAAAGCTCATATGGAGGGACAAAGTATTCTGTAAACTTAGTCTGAAGGTAAGCAATTATATTTTTTAGCTTGTCCCCTCGTGATCGGGCTGGTTGGGTACCACCAGTACTCGAACAGTGTAAAGTCCAAAATATTTGAAAAAATCTTGTTCTTGAAAATACACGGCTAAAGAATGGCTGATTATAAAGCCAATCTTGTGCAAAGTAGTCTTGCAGCGAGGGTTTAGTATTGAGTCCCATGTTTAGAACCACTCCGATGAATGCTCGTATCTCCTCTAACGTTACATCCGTCCACGAGTGCCAGATTGAATTTTTTTGCAACGGCCTCTTATTAGAAATGACAACCTTAGCATGTTTATTTGTCTCAGTAACAATAGTTTCTAAAAGTTCATCTGTCATAAACAATTGAAAAAACTGTAATGGGCTATTAGGTTTGTAGCCTATTGGGGGTTTGTAGCCAGATTCCAAAGTGTAAGGGAAGTGGGGGAAATCTTGGTCAGTATTTGTGTAAGTCCTATAGTTATGATCTTCATTAGGCTTGTTCTTGGTTTGGATAGGCCTAGGCCGAGCCTTTTTACCCTGTGTGCTAAGACTAGACTTCTTTTTGGTTTTTGAGACTTTAGTTTTTCTCGATCCACGCAAATGTCTACCTGTTGTAAGTTTGGTTGATTGTGAAGAAGGTCCTGATTCAGTACAAACTGGGATAGAGCTAGGTCTCGGTCTGTCAAGTTTTAGTCTTTTTGATTGACTCAAAATATTGGAACAGCTTGGTTCAGTAATTACAGGTAATTCGGTAGGCCCACCGATACTTACATTATGTATTCCCGGTATTTCATCTAATGTCCCAAAGTTTACATCATCTTGTTGAAAAAATTGATCATCAATAGGCCTATGTTCAACAGGCAAATCGGTACTTACATTATGTATTCCAGGTATGTCATCTAATGTCCCAAAGTTAACATCATCTTGAAGATAAAATGGATCAATATGTTCAATCGGCAAATCGGGATCACTATTATTATCACCATCTTCATCACTATTTTCGTCGTCGTCTAATTCTGGATCGGTTGGATCTGAACTGCTATTTGATAATAAATCGTCTTCAAATAACAAACCAGCTATATCAGAATCACTTATATTACTTGTTCCATCAGCAATTTTGCGATTTAGCAACGAATCATCGCCGTCTTCATCCATTTTATGGGCTTACGTAACAAGAACTAACTAACTCAAATCATAACAGTTCAGTCAAACACGAAAATAAACAACTAACTGAAAATATCTGATTGTATGTAAACAATAATAAAAAGTAAAAGTAAAGCACGCAATTCGATAATAACACTCCAACTACATACGGCAGTAAACAAACAAACCAAGCAACATTTAGTAAACAGCTGCCGTGCAGTCAGTCAGCTGCCGCTACAGACAGCAGTTCAGTTAACGAGTGAAGACGACTGACATAAGCTCTAAGATTTAATATTGAGCATTGAATATTTGTTCAAACGGTTCTGAAAAAATTCCCCAGATGGCAGCAGATGTCAAACATCAACCCTAGCGGCGAAATAAATAACTACGTATGTCCAAATAAAAGTACAGTACGTTGTCATAGCGACGGCGGGCCTGGCCCGACATTAGAGTTCGTGCGGCCATGACGCACGGCGGGGCTCCCCCGCCGCTTGAGCGGAAAGGGTTAATACTGGCATAACACGTAGGGCTAGACAACCATAGTTTGGATAATTGGGACACTACTATTTTATAACTAGGCCTACTTCCCCGTGCCTACTATTTTTTATCCTTCTCTAGGAAATTTTTCAACAACCTTAATTTTTTAACAATCCCAGGTTCAAGAACTTGAATTACAGTAGTTATTACCTTTTTGGTTGCCTGTGATCTGTTAGTGAGGCACCCTGCACATAAGGAAACCCCCAAAAGATGCAACCCAAGCTGGCAAAATGTGCATAGCTGACAAACTGCTGTTCAAGAACACAGGCAACAAAAGAGTACTACAACTGTAATATAATTCTTACCTTGTTTTGTACCACAAATTCTATCCATCTCACCTTGCCTCCTGGCGTCGTCCATGTTTCTCCACACAACGAACACAGACAGGCTCACAACCGCAATGTTGACCACAGCGGCCACCAGCTCCGACCAGCGGACGATGAACGCTCCGAGGAAGTCAAAGAATACAAGATTACCAGACCTACAAAAATCATTTTTATCAGTCTTACCAAAATTGTAACATGTACTAGACTGAAAATATCGTTTAACTTTTGGCAGAAGAAGAATTTACATTGTATCAGCATAATCTTGAACATTTCTGAGCAGGTCTCACTCAAAAGGTTGACAGTGTTCAATCAGAAAATTCAAGAAAAGTCAGTTCTAGTCAAGATCTAAAAGTATTTTGAATCTGGACCGGTTGTAGGCCTACTTCATTATTGGGATTTAATACATGGTCCTATCTGAGAAACATGATCTTAGTCAGTAAAAAAAACTGTTGTCTCATTTATTCAACAATCATTTCCACCTTTGTATTATATTAACAAATGCCAAACATCTCATGGATGTTGGCGTCGTATTTAATCAAATTCTTTGCACACCAAGGAGCCTTCATATATAACCGCAGAACAACCAACTTTTCAGGAATCCGTTATACAGGGTGATTCAAAAAGGACTTTACAACTTTGAAAATTCATATAAATCTTATTAAACAAGGTACAGAGCTGGTTTTGGTGTTGTTTTAAAGGAAAACACTTCAAGTTTTTTTACCTTAGAGCTGGTTTTGGTGTTGTTTTAAAGGAAAACACTTCAAGTTTTTTTACCTTAAACTAAAGATGTTCTATGTGACTTCCCTTGGATTTGGGGAGAATAATTATTTAGGTATGAAAAAATAGTGAAAACCGTTAAAAATTTGAGAGAAATTTACAAAATTTTGAAAGTAGGGCGTTTTTTGACGGTGAAGGAGTGCGATTTTCGAAAAACGCATAATAGCGTCTTGTATGAAATTTAATTCCCAACCTACGTTTTTTCCTCAAATCTTTTCTAGCTCTTACCGTTTTCGAGCTATTGCCGTTTGAAAAAAACGTGTTATGTCGTTTTCAGAGGTCCACCATTTTGGATTTTTGGGGGGTTTAAAATTTGAAAATGGGACTTTTTGGAATTTTATGGGTGGTTTGGAACCAAGAACTACAGGTGTGCGAAATTTCAACTCTCTAGCACATCTAGGAGTGGGTGTATTGCACTCCTTCACCGTCAAAAAACGCCCTACTTTCATAATTTTGTAAATCTCTCTCCAATTTTTAACGGTTTTCACTATTGTTTCATACCTAAATAATTATTTTCCCCAAATCCAACGGAGGTCGCATAGAACATCTTCAGTTTAATGTAACAAAACTTGAAGTGTTTTCCTTTAAAACAACACCAAAACCAGCTCTGTACCTTGTTTAATAAGATTTATATGAATTTTCAAAGTTGTTAAGTCTTTTTTGAATCACCCTGTATTCCCAACCAAAAAGGTCTGAACATTAACTCATATAAGTATTTCTATTTTAATTATACATTCCATTCATCTTCCGACCATGTTTTGACCCTAATTATATTGTTCTCACTAGACTGTGTAGGTGTACCTGTAAGCAGCAGTGTCTGACATTTCCGGAGCCGCAGCCAGCCGCAACACCAGAGGCAGTATGTTGTCTCCGGTGCGTTGTAGCGTTCCCAGAGGGATCTGAGCTGCGTTGTCCAGCAACGTGTGGTAAACATAGCCGTTGGACGACCACGCAAAGTCCAGACCTGTACAGATTATATACATTGTTACATTTAACGCACAGGTAGTCAAGGGTATCCAGGTATGCGTTGAGGCAAAATGCTGCACAAAGCAAACCGAGGACTACTTTAACTGCTATCAAAAAAATTAATTTTGCAATGTCTTCTAACAGAAATTTAGCTTTTTACAATTATTTTATCTTTAAAAAAACTCTTGTTCTAAGGTACGTCACTCCAATTTGTTCTATTACTAAATACATAATTGTGCAGAGGCCTATATTATTAATTATTAAATCATGAACCGTGTTACATAATACGAAATTGTGTAAACCGAGACCAAGTTTAGCAACTACCTATATTTCATCTGGATTGATAACAAAATAAGTATTATCATTTTGAAAGGACACATTTCAAGGTGTAATGACAATGTTGTCGTGCTCTGTCCAGTTACACTGCACAAATGAGTCACCCTGCATAAATTGTTATTATACGACTTAAGCTGTTTCTTAACATCCATAACTTTGTTACCTAAAAATTTGAATTAAATAGATGCAACGTTATGAGGTTATATCAAAGACAAAACTGTTACTTCCCATCAGCATTAATTAATATATTTGAACTAAAACAATGCATAGCAGGTAAAGGTGACTTTTCAGTAGGTTGAGAGCCCATGAGGTTTGAAGACTAACAACCTGCTGAATATAGGCCTAGCCTAGTCTGAGTTTGACTATAGTAATTTTTTTGTCTGCCTATTGACTAGGGGAAAAAGAAACAGAATATAATGGTTTATCTGTAATTAAAGCTCCACTTAATTCCACTGTCCTTTGGATTATGTTTCTTTCGGTCTGTCGCTAAACTCACCACTGATGTGCCCAAAGTCCCGGAATATCCGGAAGTCTGTATCACCAGGGATGATCCCACTCTGGAACACCTCCTGGGCTAGGGAGGACGCTAAGGGATACGGGACTGACGATGCGTAAGCCTGGAAACAATTTATCTGTCATCGCTTGGGTGAAAACTAAGATTTTTTACCTATTTACATGGTTCTAACGTTTTATAGACTTTAGGTACCTACATTTCATATTACTTTGTCAAGTTGGTAATAGTGTTATTTTGATTAAATACTGTTCATAAATTAATAAAGTAAACCTCCACCTTTCCTTTAGAAAAATTAAATTACAGTTGATTTCAAAGTGAATAGCCTTAAGTTTATTTTCATTAATATTAGCCTAATGTGTAAAGTGACCGAATTTGTTTGCTTTGACTTTAAGTGGAGAACTTTTTTATCATTAGCTAAAAGATTATCTTTGTACGACTAAGAGATATAGTCTTTGTTAGTCAATGTGGATATTCTCATTTGTGTAGTGGAACCACTCACTGCTTTTTTAAAAAAAATCCTAAACATTATTAGACGGCTCGTGTTTTTCTCAAGACAATAAACATGCCCGTACAGGAAAATTTACGACTACACCACTGATAATTGTCTACAAAGGTGTCTCACTTTACACTGAACAATACATTGGAATCACTCCAAAAACTAAATTTCTAATTTTGTAAATGGGTTCTTAATATTATTCAAAAGCAGACTTTTATAAATGACCAATATTAAATATAATATTATAATTCTAGTCTCAAGTCCTAGGTCTAGCTAAATAGGCCCATTGCTCACAAAAAATGTCTTTTTAAAATGATATTGTTATCGCCAGCATTTAAAATGTTTGGTAGCGTTCATTTAAATTTAATTTGTATCATACTTATTTAAACAAATTGATAAATGATGTGTAAAACAATTAGAGAAATTTGTTTGCAGTCTGTCCAGGGATATAATTATTTAGTTTAAAATTAGTTAAATGTATTTATTTGTCAAAAGCTTTGGCTACTATAGTAATATCACTAGCATTAGCGCACAAGAGATAATTTTAAAATAAAAATATCATTTATCATATTAAACATGATTCCATTCCAAACAACATTTTTAGCTAATTCAATTAAACTTTTTATATAAAACTTATCTTTCTATTTATGAACATTTTTCAAAACTCAAGTCTTATTATCAAGTGAATATCAAATGTTATTGTTGTAATAACAAAGGTTATTGTCCTGTAATCTTGAGACCGACAATCAAATCAGCTGATTCAGACAAGAAACATCCAAGGTCGACAAAAACAAAAGGAAATGACTCAACATAGCCTAGACATATGTTACACCAAGTGTGGCTACTCGCTTACAAGCTAGGTTTACATTAGAAATCTAGATTTTATTTATACAACAGAACAAATTTACTTTAGTTTTTTGTCATATAAATATAACAGTTTTAATATTGCATATATATAAATACTGAAATAAAGGCTATACCTTACTATTATAGTGGTGATAAATTCTTAATTTTAGTATTTCTTATTATAAAACAAAATAAGTTTTTTTCGTTGGTGTCCCCCAACAAAGAAAGTAAAGTACAAAGAATTTAGGAATGGGTTTATTGGGTCAAATCAAACAATAATCAAGAATTTTTATTCAAAAATGTCATAATGGAAAGATATTTGCCTTTTTTCTGTTTTAAATTTATATGTCAAAAACTATTTAACATCCTTATCTTTATGAAAATTGGCATACCACTATTTGAACTTTTGAGTGCTGTTTGTATAGAAGCTGTACTTATGCGATTGTTGTTGCAGATGAGTAATTTTTCCTAAATGTATTGTGATGTTATAGGAAAATAGATTTTCATAAACCAATTAAATAAGACTTGTTTGAGAGATGCTATACAGGGGTACCAACCTCCATGAGCCATGGGTTCTCCGGGCCGGCCTGAAACAGTAGTTCTCGTCCACCGGCGCCACAAGCCTCCAGATTGACAAAAGCCCTCACCTCACTTGCCCACTTGTGCTGGGTGATGAACCCGTGAGAGGCCTGTCGCAGAGCACAACGTTACTAAATTGCATGGCAAGATTTGGCTAATAATTTTATCCGTTCTAAGCTAATAGCATTTCACTAAAAACATACACTTCATTACCTTTCCTGTTGCAAATCTAAGCACTCATTAGAGAAATAATATTTAGGCCTGAACAGGGAATAAATCTGACAAATTTTGGAAAACCCAATCCAAGGCAAAGGCAAATTTGCTCATACACACAAACAAACACACAGTAAATGGCACAGGTGTATATGGATTACAAAAATTACAGCCTGGTTATCAACTTTACCATTCATAGATTTACGATATGTAAGGGGTAAACCCACCTGCATAAGATTTTCTTCGGCTCCGTTAAACAGGAAGATGACATTGTGCACAAGAGCTGTGTCAGAGCGAGAAATTACTCTGAGCATCTCCAACATTACGGCACAACTAGCTCCATCGTCACTGCCTCCTGAATAAAGAACCACTGTGTTTGAGCAAATGTATGTATTCATTAAATGTGTAAATTATTTATAATGCATTATTTGTATGACAAATGCCACATATTCATCGCTGATTTCCTACAAACTGCTGTACAGGTTATTTGTTACCTTAGCCTCTGTATTGTGAATTTTGTGATGAATAAATTAAATAGGTGTTTGTTGTTTTAACTGTTAAAAGTCTGTTGCATTTTTTGAATCATGGGACATGCAACCAAGTAATGTTATTTAATTAAACTAGACTACCCTTGATTTACAATGAATAATGATTGTTGTAAAATATTACCTGGACTATCAGGAACAGTGTCGAAATGGCAGTTGACCAACAAACTGTGCGGAGACTCTTTATGTGGTCCTATTTTCACCAACACATTCTGAACATTTCTATAAACATTAGTCATCCCGTCCAAAAACTGCAATGGGAATGAACCGCTCACTTTTTGAACATCAGTCGATATCCTATGGACCTTACTAGCTTTATCGATAATAGAGTTAATTTCTTTTGTGAAAAAGTTAATTGCTAACACTTCGTTCTCAAAACTACCAGTGGGGCGGGGCCCTAAACTGGTCAAATTTAACACATGATTTTTCGCTCTCTCCGCTATAAAACGTCCAGGGTGGAGCGGTTCGTCTTCGATCAACAAAGGTGTCGGCAGTCGTTTTTCCATTTCTACTATTATAGTGTGAACTAACACAAGGAAACAGAGCATTGCGATGTACACTGAGCTGGGAGTCGGCAAGTAGTGAGTGGCCGAGTGTTTGTTGGAGTCATAATGCTCTGGTAGTACGCCTGAAGACCGGCGCCGTCCTGTTCTCAGTCTTAGGCCTTCTTTGACTCCCATCTGAAACCCAGCATACCATTTTAATTTTGAGTTTTGCTTCTACAAACTGGGCTCAGCTGTGACAATGTAGGCTTGCCTATAATAAAATAACGAACAGCTTATTCATGTTCATCAGTAAATTGTACGGTAGGCCTATTCCTATATTTAGTAGCTTGGATAAATAACAGTGAATGCTAACCTTGGAAAAAACAGTGAAAGTAAGTCTTGCCATTCAAATTGGGGGGGAGGGGGTGCATTCCTAGATCCTAGATGGTTTGTAAAATACTGACAGCCTTTTTTGAGGTTTTTGTCTTGCTACCTTAATAGGGCCTCATTTTCCACTTTAGGATGGTGTCTAGTCATTAATTTTTACTTTAGGATACCTACGTAACATTTTATTTCTGGACCAGACAATCTGGTTTACATGTAGGCTTAAATCATATAGGGTACTCTTGTACACAATGACCTACCAATCAACATAGGACCTTAAACCAAGACAAGGTACAGTAACCTGCCCTACTTAATGTAGGTATTTAGGTTCTTACACAGGTATAACTTTAGCCTAAGTCTTTAGTATCTCTATTTGTACCCAGAGGTGCCCATCCCCCCCAAACCCAGGGGCGCAATCCCCCCCCCAAGCCAAAGGAGTAGCCCCCCCCCCACAATTCATGCTGCCGTCTATTTAAACCTACCCTCCCCTCACCAATTTATCTGACAATTTTCCCTTTACCTCATAAAACAAGCATTTAAAGTATTTAGTAAACTTGAGGTACGAAAAACAAACTTGCTGATAATCAAAATTAAATGTTTAATATGAAACATCATTTAACAATACATCAATATAAATCTACGACGAATTAGAAGTTTTTCAATTTACAATTCAGAATTTGTATTGTCAGCTAATATGTGTGCTCAGTATTGCAATAGACAACGTCTTCAAAACGTACAACAATATAGGCCTACTCGGTGAATTACTCAACTCCAACACATTACTGTAACTGTACAATATATTAGGTGGCGTTAATTTTTACAGGGCTTAAGAATTCAAACAGCTTTAAGTGCATTAATAATACTTTGGCAAAAAGTATATTGTTTCAAAATTATAGGCAGCGTCACGAAATAAGACAGACTTGTTGCTCGCCACTCCCAGGCTGCCTTCTACAAAAATCGCCGGGCAAAATACCCACAGTACCTCTTAATAATTGCCACCAGTACAAAAGGTTTTCGTGACGAAGTAATCTTATAATTAATTTTGATAGCCCCAGGATTGCCTTTTATGACTAATGATGGTAGAAACGCATCTTTTCAGACAATCCGTTTGTACACAAAACACGAAACGATAACAGATAGGCCTATCAATTCACGCGTGTATATATTGCCGCGGGCAGGACTGGAAATTAACCGAATCAGGTAATGACGGAAAGACGTGGTCTGGATTGGTGTTTGTGTTATCAAAAGCTGAAATTGGACTAATAGTCCAGTCAATGAATGATCCAAAAGTAGGTGTAGAGTGCGTGAGCAGGTAACTAAGCGATTCCTTCAGAAACTTGTTCAGGGGGCTTAGGGTGTTAACATACCAAAAGTCCTGACTCCTAGGTGGTGAGCCAGGGGGTGGAGGGGGGAAAAAGGGGGGGGGGAAAGGTACGCATTTTGGGTTTTTTGATTATATCTCGAAAACTATCAACTTTTTGTATACTATAGTAAATTATAAAATTGAAGAAGATTAAATTTTCTACAAGAAAAGTATATAATGTGTTTATTTTGGTTCAACAGATTACGAGTTATAACTTATTTCATTGATATCTTATTAAAATACTCCTTCCATTAGAAATACATGTAAATTAGTATGCGAAATGGGGCGAATCCTATCCGCCCAAAGGAAATATGACTGATATTCTGGAAATATTGACAATATTTCCAGTAATTTGACACTTTAATCATGAAATTTTGTCAAAAATTATAGCGAGGGTGAGCGTTTAAAAATGGGATGATTTAAGGTTTTTTTTTATATTTCCAATAAAAAAACACCAAAACTCGAAATTTTGTTACCTCGCCCTCGCCTTAATTTTGGATCAATTTTTATGATTAAAGTGTCAAATTACTGGAAATTTTGTCAAGATTTCCAGAATATCATTTATATTTCCTTTGGGCGGATAGGATTCGCCCCATTTCGCATACTAATTTACATGTATTTCTTATGGAAGAAGATTTTAATAAGATATCAATTAAATAAGTTATAACTCGTAATCTGTTGAACCAAAATAAACACATTATATACTTTTCTTGTAGAAAGTTTAATCTTCTTCAATTTTATAATTTACTATAGTATACAAAAAGTTTATCGTTTTCGAGATATAATCAAAAAACCCGAAATGCGTACCTTTCTCCCCCCCCCCCTTTCCCCTCTCCACCCCCTGGCTCACCACCTAGGAGTCAGGACTTTTGGTATGTTAACACCCTAAGCCCCCTGAACAAGTTTCTGAAGGAATCGCTTAGTTACCTGCTCACGCACTCTACACCTCATTCCTTGACTGGACTATAATTCTAGTGACGGAGGAGAGTGTTGAAAATATAATGGGATTCATAATTGATTTTTCCATTCAAAAATTATTGACAATAATTTATATGCTGGATGGTCTCGACATTCTAGATTACTGCAGAAAAGGAAATTTATTAAATACTTTGAGGAGTTTGAAATATACATAAAACTATTGACAGCACAAAATTTTTAGTGAAAACACTCAATTAATTATGAATCCCATTATGTTTTCAATACTCTTCTCAGTCACTACAATAGTCCAATATCAGCTGTTGAAAACGCAGACGACAATCCAGAGACCACGTCGGTCCGTCATAACCTGAACCTGATTCAGTTTACTTTACTTACTTCCAGTCCTGCCGACGGCAATGTACGAATTGACAGGCCTATCTGTAATCGTTTCGTGTTTTGTATTAAATTTTTGTCGTATTCTGACGACACCTCCAGAAGTGGATCTTTTTTAAATCCTGACGATGGTGGAGTTAAAGAACCACCAAAACATATGTAGCAAGTAAAATTCGACACTGGTATATAGGATTGTCTGGCAAGGTCCGTTTTTACCATTCTTAGAAGCTATCTTAATTAGGAACGGCTTGGTGGTGATAGTGAGAAACACTTTTTCGGGCTGCTTATACAAAATTATACATTCATTATGACAGCTAGCAAAAAATATCCCCCCCAAAAATCTCAAAATAAGCCCCCCCCAAAAATTCCTGTGGCGCAAACGCGCCACGGTACCCCCCCTCTGGGCACCCCTGCCAAAACATATGTAGCAAGTAAAATTCGACACTGGTATATAGGATTGTCTGGCAAGGTCCGTTTTTACCATTCTTAGAAGCTATCTTAATTAGGAACGGCTTGGTGGTGATAGTGAGAAACACTTTTTCGGGCTGCTTATACAAAATTATACATTCATTATGACAGCTAGCAAAAAATATCCCCCCCAAAAATCTCAAAATAAGCCCCCCCCAAAAATTCCTGTGGCGCAAACGCGCCACGGTACCCCCCCTCTGGGCACCCCTGTTTGTACCTAAGTTAGTGTTGGAAAATGCATTGTTCAATCAAAATCAATTGAAAAGGGGACGCCATCTAGGATCGTAACAATTAATTATTTTAACCCGAATATATGAGTGAAGGATAGGCTAAGTGAAGAATGAAGTGAGATGCCTTGTACATCTTACATAGGTCCTCTTCATCGCAGTCGTAGAGACTGGAGAATCGTCATTTAAGTTACTTCTTTCTCTTCTTATAATAGCCCTACATTATGGATTTGTTAATGGTTTCCATTAGCCAGGACCATTTATTAACCTAAGAGTCCGATGATCAAGGACAGGTTGATCCAGTTCCAAACGATCAAAGAGCTAGGCCTAGGTAGCCTACACATATTTTTCACAGGATTGAACTGGCGACCTTATGATTAGGCCTAGGCCTACCTACTAGGTGAACACTCTACAAAAACATTGTTGGGTAGACTGTGGTGGAAAAAGGTTACTTTTTACTTTACTTTACTTAGGTAAGTTAAGCTTAATTAAGTTACTGTTTTAAAAGCCTAAATAGCTTCCAAACTCAGGTGGTTTCCCGAAAGTTACAATTAACTTACCATCTGATAAAAGTAAGGAATGCAGCCTCAGGTAAGCTAGGCCTACAATATTTAGGTCTAAATTAGAAATTTGTTATTTTAATTTTTAAATCACAAAAAAAATTTAAAAAGCCAAGTGTGGTGTTTTTTACCTTTTTATCAGTCATGGTGTGAAGTTCACTGGTTCAGAAAAATGGTGCAATTGTTCTATTAATTAATTTAAAACCTTTTGATGTCCAGAAACATACCACCACAAGTTATAAAAACTTTTTAAATTCTGCCAATTTTTTACATTTAACCTGAACTTTACGTCTTATCAATTCGACAAATAATTAATTGTAAGCTTGTTTTCTAGCACACTCGTTTAAAAATGTTAAATGGGGGATGTAGGCTTAGGCCTAGCTTAATACTTGAATTAATCAACTACCGGTAAATGATGATAAAATAAAAATAATCAACTAGGCTACACTGTCACTAATAAGCCAGATCCCGGTCACCGAACCTACATAACAAACAATTTTGTTTGACACTGGCAGTCAGGTGCAGGTCAGGTCAGCAAGTAGTAGAAGTGAAGTTGGCAGAATACAAAATTACCAAACAGTCAGACACTCACACTCACACTACACACTAGAGAAATACAAATTAAATTTCACATATGACATACAATGAACAGAAAAACAAACAGCTGATCATGCCACGGAACGGAACGACAGACGGAAACGAAACGACTGACTGGACTGAAGGGGTGGCACAATTTGTTTTTCAGGATTAATTTTGCCAACAGTGTTATTTAGAGGCTTCTGATTGACTATAACGAAGGTTTAGTAATTGACAAATTATTTTTATTCATAGAATGAAATTATAAATGCCTCAAATTCAATTTTATATTTTTTTATTATGAAATTAAACCGTCATAACCTAACCAAACCAACCAAACGTGCTGACAATGAAAAAATCTAATGAAGGTTTATTAATCGAAAAAATAGTTCTGTTCATAAAATAAAATTATAAATGCCTCAAATCCTATTTTAGAATTATTTATTCTAAAATTAAACTATCATAACCTAACCAAACTAACCAGACTTGCTAATAAAGAAAAATCAAATTAAGCTAAAAAATATTTCTGTTCATAAAATAAAACTATAAATAGGTCAAATTCAATTTCATAATGTTTTAACTATAAAATTAAACCGTCATAACCTAACCAAACCAACCAAACTTGTTGATAATGAAAAAAATCCAGTACAAAAAGATTAATGATACGGATGGGATTCGAACCCGGGTCTTTCGGGTCTTTAGCCCAGCACCCAGCACTCTATCCACTACTCCACCGAGACCGTTGGCATCAATCGTTTCGTCGCGGTAATGATGTTCCCTCAGCCAATCAGAAGCCTCAAAATAATACTAAAGGCAACACTAATCCTGAAATAAAAATTCAGCGAAGGGGCGAAGCGTGATTCGTGTGTGAAGCGTGGGTGAAGAATCAAGAATCAAAAGAGTTCTGTTAGTGAAATCACTAGGTAGGTACAATTTAAGACCATGAAGCAGAAGGCTTAGTCTTGTTTAAGCAATGATTATGATTATAGTACCTTCTACAGGTTAAAGACGTAATCTGATAAAAAGGTTGACTTTAGGTGGTAAAAAACCATAGTTTTGACTCTTTCCCTACAAAAAAGGTAAACATCCGATGGAATTTAAACACAAAGATAAAAATATTCAATTACTTCTGGTCGAGCATGGAGTCCCCCAAGGATCAATTCTGGGCCCTCTGACCTTTCTCCTAAAATGACTTCAGTGGTGGAGAGGAAGCTCTCCTTTACGCAGACGATACCACACTGATTAGAAGAGGAGCACACTTGGACGGAATCAGAGTGGCGGCAGCTGCTGACCTTGCTTTAGCAGAGACATGGTTTAAAAACAACAAATTTCAAGTCAATGCTGATAAAACACAACAGATTATCTGCAGTTTAAGTCAAGATTTGGCCGTATCACAACACCACCATAACCCCGACAATTTAAACTTCTGGGCTTCACCATAGACAGGAAATTAAGTTGGCAACCTCAAATTGATGAAACGTGCAAAAAGTTATCCAGAGTTGTCTTTCTGCTACGTAGGCTAAAGAGTAGCTTAAGTGAAATGCTCAGGCTACAAAAATCTGTCTTGAGAGCCATAACATCAAGCGCTCCTTTGGAACGCTGTAAGCCAATCTTTAGAAGGCTAAAGGTGCATACTGTTATCGGACAGTATATATTCTCCTCCCTTGTACATGTCAGGTCGGACATTGAACTAAAGACCAGAGAGGAGATGTTCATAGCTACAATACACGTAGCAGAAGTAAAATTGATATTCCTAGATTCCGCCTCACGGGAACGGGAACAAAGCACCGATTTCCTGCCTTTTCTTGGAAGTTGTTCAACAAGCTCCTACCAGAGATCAGTAGTCTTCCGAAAAAACCTTTGCCAGGGTTGTAGCCTACTACTCCATGACAGAGTATTTTGAAGACAAATGGTAGAGTGCACTAGTGCACATCACCTCTCCGTAGTCACCCGCCAGGTTTTTGTTTTTATTTTTTTTGAAACTTCAAATAATTTATTTCCTTGAAAGATACAAGTTTTATTTTTTGTTGTAAATAATTTATATTTATATTTAAAAATCGACGCAGTTTATCCAGCTATGCTGGTCAACAACATAGCTTTGGTAATAAGGTAATACACATTTCTTTAGGGTGTTTCGAGGGGCTGATAAAAGCCTATAGCACAAGAGACTGCACAGGCACAGGCTCAAATCTGTTTACTGTATATGAATTTATTTCCACTGGCTTATTTCTGTTCTAATATTCGTGCAGTATTTAATATGTTTGAACCAGCAATGTGGAAATGTGAAATTAAAATTCATTTGACAGCTCTGATTGTTTGCATTTAAACTTTGTGGGTTGTGGGTTGGTTCTTTGTTACTGACCAATCTATATTTACTTTTAAAACTCTCACCTCAGAACTTTGAAAGCCTGCGGGGCAGAAGAGTCCTAGTCCTAGGTCAATATCGAAGCGGAAACAGCCCTAAATATATCCTCGGAGCTGTAGCTTTATTTTTGCCCAATTTGAGCCCAGTTGGTTCAGTAGTTTTTGAGTTAATCTTATACAAACACACATACAGACAGACAGTCAGATACCACCTCTTCTTTATAATAGTATAGATAGATAGATATATAGACATTTTATACAGAAAAATTTCATTATTGAGACTTTTTGTTCACCTAGTGTAAATTCAAATCTCATTTACTTGCACAAAAATATACAAATTTTGTGTTTTAATGATTTATGTTTTTAATCCAATAATATTTTGAAATATTTTCAAGTTGTAAAACAAATAAAAAAGTAAATCACCTGTTGTTCGGTTGTTACCTTATGGTTGAAGTTTTGTTGTCAATAGATTATGCATTTTTCGGCTATTCAGCCTTCATCAGATTGTCCTATAGCAACTTATCGGCTTAAAATACCTACTTTGTATGGTCGCCATTTCAATGAAAAAGTATTAAGGTATCTTGCCTGAAGATGAGGTGTGTCGACTGTCCAGTCTCGACTCTCGACACATGTCTGGAGGGCCACACTATTCTGCCCATGCACACGTCGTGAGTAGGCCTATTTAAAAACATGTAATACCGTCGGTTATTGTTTTATGTTGTGTACTACATTTGTGTTTTGTTTGTTACGAACTTTTGACACATCTCTTCAAGCAAGATAAGTTCCTATACTGTAAGACAATCTGAAGATGACTTAATAGCGAAAATGTGCAATCCATTGAGGACAAAACTTGGACCATTACGCGACAACAGGTAATTTAACCATTTTATTCGTCAAACACCAATTTGGTTTGGAAACAACACAACAACAAATAAAGTTGTAAATTAAGTTTAAATCAAACAAAAAATGGTAGGAAGGCAAGGAATCATAACAAAGTACATACATATTATCATAGTTTAATAATAAAAAAATTACTGTTCCTTAATAGTACCACTTAAACAGATGAAAAAATAAACTACCTGGGAGATGGTGGATTAAATATTATTTACAAACGACGAAGTTTAAACATGAGTTGAAAATTCCTGTACAAACTTTGGAGTGTACAGGTTTTAAACATCAACAATAGAAACAACTTTTTATATATTCTTCAGGAGTTCTTCTTATGATTCTGTTTCCTGAAAAAGTAACAACAATAAATAAATTATACAACACAAAACCTACCGTACCTATGTGGCAACTCAAACCTCAGTAGGTTTTTGGCCTCACCACAAAACTAAAAGCGTAAATTTTTCTTGAGGACTTTTAATGTTTTTCTTTAGTCTACATGTAATTGAATGCATTACATTTTTTAGGAACAATGAGTTATTTAATTGAATCAGCAACAATTAAATAGCCTGAGTTACGCTTAAAAATTTGCGAGTCTGTCTAGTACCTAGCTTTGCATGTTTGCAAATTTCTGTAATTGTTATAAAAACCCCATCTGACCATCAGGGAAATCATGCAGAAGTAAAACCTTTAAAAAAATGGTTAAAGAGTTTGTGATAAAGATATTATTCTTCGGGTAATCAGACGGCTTAGAAGAGAATGATTGATGGTAAGCCTACTTTAAATTTTAAAGCCCCCTTTACTTTAGGCGATTTGGTCGCCCGTCGATGGGCGATTAGATTGCCGCCAATCATATCGCCGGTTGAAACGTATTGTTTACTCCAGCAATCAGTTAGGCGATACCATTGGCAAACAAAGTTTGTTGATCAGTGTGTGAATGGAGCAAGAACATACAGAACAATAACAACAATATAACATAAAATATTGAGAATGAATTAACAAAAGAGTTTTAGGCCTTTATTTATTTATTTATTTATTCATTTAACGGTTACAACCAATACAGTTTACATTGTTGTGCATGCTTAACAGTAACAAATCAAATGATCAAGAGTGAATACATGGATGGCTGTTCAATTATGTTAATACTCTAAATAAATACAAGTGACAAAGATTGAGTGCAATAGAGTAACAATAAATTGTTGATGCCTTGTTGATTTAATGGTCACTCTGACTTTTAGGTAACGTTTAATTAAGTTGGTGCTAGGGGGAGTGAGTGTGGTTAAAAACATATGTGACTCGCATTACTAATCAGAAACATGAGAGTACTAATCCCATGATTTGTTCTTCAACCAAATAAAATGATATATTTTGGCCGAACAACATGGCAAACAACATCTTTTGTGAGAATGAGATTTTACCTATTATTGGTATACATAACATTCTCTACTGCGTGGGATAGGCCTATTACATTTTTATAATACGCAGGTTGACAGCACTTACAAGCGATTTAATGCATGGGAACTGGCTGTGTTGGCATTGGGGAAGCCAGATAGTTTTCGTTCTCTAAAAATGTTCTCTTTTGACACTTGCAAATCTGTTCGGTGGAACTATTCAAATATAAAATAAATAATTAAAACCATCTTTTATATACTTAAAAGAGAAGAATGTTTTGGTGAAAGTAAAAAGGTCAAATTTCGCTCACCTGATTAGCAATATTATAGATGACTTCACGAATACCGTTGGAGACTTCTTCTATACCAATGTCCAGTTGGTCTATTCCCTGTTGAATACTATCTACTATTTCTGTAGAGACTTCTTCATTGCGGGAACTACGACATGTCACCATGTTGCTGGATTCTTCTATATTTTTACCACTAAAAAAACCAAAAATCACAGTATTGTAACAGAAAAAGGCACAGTAAAATCTGGCAATAATGGCCTTTCAAAAGAATATCACATATTACCTTCATTGCATGTTTTAGCAAATTTCCCATAAAGGGAAGTAGCTATAGGAAGTCACGGTAAGACCGGGGCCCATGACCGATTTACTTTTTCGTTTTGAGGTCCCAAAAACTCCACTTGTTCAAATTCATCTATCTATATACGGTATTAATTACGTAAGCCGATTCTTTGCGTCAAAATTGTGGGCGACTGGGAAGTCGTAGAATGACGGTAGAGGGCTCAAATTGAAGGTCTCGACTCCGTGAAGGCGGGAAAAATAGTGAAATTCCCCAAATTTTAACACAAAGTTAGATATATAGTAAAATATTCTCCATAAGAATAGCATTAGAAGCCATTTACTACAGATTTTTGTTTACTTAAATACAGCTGATCACAATTTATCACCAAGCCGGTACGCAATATTAACATTTGGATTATTTAATCGCCAGTCAATTCTGCAATGTACTACATAAAAAACGTTACCTAAAATAATTAAGGCCTTTTAGTTATGAACGTTATAGAATGTTTAAATAAATTATTTTACCGTTAAACTGTTCAAATTTGTGTATTTTGAACGTTTTATATGATATAACCACATTGATTAAATAATCAACAATTCAAGATTTAAATGGGAAACTTCTGCTTTGTTTTTTTTTAAACATATGTTCAAGATTTATTCCACCTTTTCTTTTTAAATTTACGAACATTTTAAATTTGGGATTTATTGTAGTATTTATCCCTTTTACTAATTGTTCACAGTACTGAGCAGATTGTAAAATAAAATGAAGTTAAAAAAAAATTATAGTATTCAGTAAATTTTTTGTATGAAGTGGAATAACCTCAATGGCTACTCTTTGAAAATAACCTGGGAATAAAGATGGAATAGGTTCGTACAGGAAATATATATTTCTTAATGATGTAAGTACTATGACAAGTTCCAATGGGCGAAAACAATATTGTTGGTGATTTTAAACAGGTACTGTCTGTTGCTCTAAGCAAAAAAGTTTAAAATAATATAGCCTAGGATGCGCGGTAGTAAAGGGAGCATCCGTATATAACAGTAAAACCTAGAGGTAGTTTCCGTTTCTTAAAACTAACAAAAAATATTCATGTCAAAGATGCTGATGACAGTAATTTTGTGATTGGTTTCGATAACTGGGTAATGACAAAATAACCAGGTGCAAAATAGTTAGTACAGTAATCAGGCGTTGATTAGGCATTTTTTTAAATATATAAAGTCAATCGCACCTTTAGGAGGAATACCACCATATAAACTTACATTAGGCTAATAGTAAATTTTTAATGTTGATTAGAAACAAATCTAGGGTTAGTTTGGTCAATAGGATGCCTGCCTATGTTTTACACTAATTTTTTTCAACCCTTTACAAAAGGAGTACGGTATAAACTTAGAAATAATAGAGTCGAGGTGCCAATTGAGTGGTTGTAAGCTTATCTCAACACACCTTTATTTGTCTTTTCATATTTGACGAAGACTATTTCCAATATTTCAATCAGGGAAGCCTCTTTAGCATTTAATCACTAACGAAAAGACCAAAGCTACCTTAGTAAACCAATATTTATTCACGTTTGTGAATAAATATTACGAGGTGCCAATTGAGTGGTTGTAAGCTTATCTCAACACACCTTTATTTGTCTTTTCATATTTGACGAAGACTATTTCCAATATTTCAATCAGGGAAGCCTCTTTAGCATTTAATCACTAACGAAAAGACCAAAGCTACCTTAGTAAACCAATATTTATTCACGTTTGTGAATAAATATTACTTTATATCATTTAAATATATGTTTGCTGCCTTTAGCAGAGTTAAACCTCTGGAGTCATTGAAATTATTTATTTAAAATAAAATCAAGCGACAAAAGCAAACAAAGACAAACGACAAACAGTTTTTTACACAAAAGATATAGTGTACAGAGATATTCATCCTGACACATAGATAATTTTATTCTAAGTTTGTTTAAATATTAGAATAATTTTTTAAACATTTGAGCCTTTTAGGGACTTATGTCTCTACAAGCCACTAGTATATGTAATGCTCAGTTTGTAAAAAATGAGGTGCTAGAAATGTAACCTACCGGGAATTATGACCTCTCCCCTCCTATCCACCCTCAAAAAATGGTTAAGAGGTACCGGAACAATAATCATGTAACAATAACCCTAAACTCAATTTAGATAAGGCTTATTGAAAATCATAAAAATTCTCTACCTTGAGCCCCAACTACCGACTCTAACTACTCAACACTCACCTTTTAAGAAGGGTGTTTTTTTCTTGATCATAATGATCAAACATTGTTTCGTGCTCTCTGCGAGTGCTTTCTACCAAATTTTGCACTGCATTCACCACACCTTTATTATCGCTTAGGACAATGGACGCCAGTCGTTCGAGTAACTCGTCTGAAACAAATTAAAAGGTTAAAAAGCAGAACTGGATATTATGAATCCTTGGTTCTGGAAAGTTAGGTTCGCAAATCAACGTTGATCATGAATAGCTTTTTGCATTTTGTTAACGCTAAAACAAGTGGTTCGAATCCTACCGGAACGAATATTACCCCTATCTTTTTTGTACAAAAAAATCATTTCTTTATTATTGTGAAACAACAATTTTTATTTTTTTAATTCTGATCATAACTTCTCTGATTTCCTTGTTTGGGTTGTTGGGTTGGGCTTGGCAAAGAATTTACTTACTTCTTTGTTCGAGAGGAATCTGGCAGAATTGTTCGTAATCTTGCAGGTTATTCTGCATTTTATCAATATTTTCCTTCATACGGTCATACTGGTTTTGTAGGGACAGGTAGAAAGATTTGTAAAGGTTTACGCTCATTTCAATTCTTTCTTTTTCATATTGTAAGACTTCTAGTAGAATTTTGTCAGCTTTTAACTTCAACAAGATAGGGCTAAGGACCTCATCCATCTGGAAAAGGAACAGTGAAAATCAACTAGAAAAATTAAACCATCATTTTATTAATATGTAAATTATATGACTATTCAAGCCCCTGGTTTATAATTATTATATAAATCAAGGACACACTTAAATATTGTTAAACACATGTTTGGTCACTTGAGTGGCAATTGTCGATAAAGCTTTGGGGTAGCCATGAAGTCTGTTAGTTTTATGAGAAAAAATAAAGTACTTCGTTATCCACAAATTTTATACATAAACTACTATGTTATATAAATAAACTTTCTGTTACCTTTCTGATTCCCACCAACGTAAAAGATATGATTAATTAATTATACATAATATGAAAAACTTATAATTGCGACTACCTCCGTTGAACAACGTTGCAAGGGAAACTCCATATGTTGAGAAATTAAAATCTTCAAAGAATAATACAAATTACGTCCTCTACTGTGTGGGATATTTATTTAGTTTTAAAAAATACATAGGTTGGCAGCACTTCAAGCGATTGAATGTAAGGAAAACTGGCTGTGAAGGTTCCCGGCCAGAACGTTTTTGTGTTTTCTGAAAATATTAATTTTTGTCACTTGCAAGTTGCAACGTTGTTCAGTGTTCAATCATAGATTTTTACTCTTATACCAAAATATTACCTGCCAATATAAACATTTTTTCTTATACAGGGTGTCCATAAAAAACGTTTCAGGACTTTGGGAAATGAATCCCCATACTAAAAGGAAGAAAAAAGTTTATGGGAAGGTATGTCCGAAAATCCATATTTACCCAGATATCCGCCATTTTGTTTTTTATACAAAAATATTTTTATCTGTGAAGTTTTTTATTCGATGATTATGAAACTTGGTAAACATGTTACCATACACAAGACCTATCATAGAAAAAATAATAAAGTTGTTCCGATTGTAAATTTCAAAATGGCGGCCGTTTGAATTTTTCTAACTTAAATAACTCGAAAACGGCTAATTCTATGAAAAAATGTCAAGAATACTTTTTTTTAGCATTTTTAATTTCCTATCAAACGATACCAAGATCAAAAAGATCGGACTGAAATATAATGGTTTTTGTGTAAAAATAAGGCAAAAACTAAGGGTTCCCCGACTAACTTTGCCTTATTTTTACACAAAAACCATTATATTTCAGTTATCTTTTGTCCGATCTTTTTGATCTTGGTATCGTTTGATAGGAAATTAAAAATGCTAAAAAAAAGTATTCTTGACGTTTTTTCATAGAATTAGCCGTTTTCGAGTTATTTAAGTTAGAAAAATTCAAACGGCCGCCATTTTGAAATTTACAATCGGAACAACTTTATTATTTTTTCTATTATAGGTCTTGTGTATGGTAACATGTTTACCAAGTTTCATAATCATCGAATAAAAAACTTCACAGATAAAAATATTTTTGTATAATAAACAAAATGGCAGATATCTGGGTAAATATGGATTTTCGGACATACCTTCCCATAACCTTTTTTCTTCCTTTTAGTATGAGGATACATTTCCTAAAGTCTTGAAACGTTTTTTATGGACACCCTGTATAACGTCTTTATATGCAACAACTAGAATTTTGTTTTAGATAGCCTATACAACACGCTAAAATCAATAAAAAATAAAAAAAAACTTCTCCTGAACAGACAGTAAAATATATGTCAATCTGCGAATTGTATGAACATTTAATATTTTTGATTGTGATATAGAACTCTGCTACTTAACATACAAATAAATCTCCGCACCGTTTTGATTATATGTTTGGAATGGTCGACTCTCTTTCGCTGTTTCAATTCCACAACTCGTAAGACTTGAAGGTCGACCCATTGCTGGCACGTGGAAGTAACATCGTCTCTACAACTGTGACTCAAGTTGAAACTGTCATCTTCTAGACTACTGTCTAGCATGTTTTCTTCATATCTAAAAACACAATTAACTTTTTTTGTAAAATATCTGCATTTAAATTTGCATTTTAAATTAACTTAAAACTTGCATTTAAAATATAGAATCTGATGCGTTGCAGTATGGCAACTAGTTGCCATGCAGTCAGGGTTTCCACCCGTCTCAATTCTGTCCAGACAGTCCCAACTTTAGACCCTTTTGTCTGTGTCTATCATGGGGGGGGGGGACTTCCATCCGATTTTCGTAACAAAAGGTGGCAACCCTGTGTGCAATAGATGCACATAATAAATTTTACACCAATTTATATAGTATTTAAATGCAATCAGGAGGCTCAAATTCAATATAATTATGTCACGTAATATGGACCGCATTTAGCAGAAGGGAACCAACCCACAAAATTAAATATTTTGAGATATGTTTGTTTTGGATTTAGGAAATCAATCTGTGTAAAAAAAAAATTGTTTCACTCATCAAAACAACATTAATATTTAAAAAAAACAAACACAATTTTGTTTGGATTGGAATCCTGTGTATGAATTTCGAAGAAAAGAACCAACATTGGTTCCACAAAAATACTCAATTTCGATTTTTGGAGAAAGGAACTAACCCACTTTAGTTCTGTCCTTACATGTACATGTTACATCCTTACCCATATATCTATTTCAGCAGAAAGGAACCAACCCTAAAACCAGCTGCTACTAGAACAGCTGATGTTTGGTGTGTTGATGGAACCATTGACTGTCTATGATGGAGCTTGGAGCTGTTTGTTGACTAATTTTTTAGGGGGTATTTCATTTGGTCCAAAATCGTTTGGTCCACAAATTGTAAAACTGTTCGTTTGGTCCAAAATCGTTTGGTCCACAAGTTTTAAAACAGTTCGTTTGGTCCAAAATCGTTTTATGATCCAGTTGGGGAGTATTTCATTTGGTCCAAAATCGTTTGGTCCACAAGTTGTAAAACAGTTCGTTTGGTCCAAAATCGTTTGGTCCACAAGTTTTAAAACAGTTCGTTTGGTCCAAAATCGTTTGGTCCACAAGTTTTAAAACAGTTCGTTTGGTCCAAAATCGTTTGGTCCAAAAGTACAGGCAAAACCAGAATTACAATTGTGTATTGTGGAGTAAACTTATGAAATAGACTGTACGTTTCACTGTGGACCATTCGATCGGGTCGTTTTATTCAACACTCTATTACGAGTTCGTTTGGTCCAAAAGTATGAACTATTGCGTCCCTCACATAGAAGGCGTTCAAATAATCGCCGTCACGTCGTCAACCCAACCGCCTGCCTTCCGAGGCCTATTATTTGTTGTTTTGTGATATGTTTCTAAATAATTGATATGTTTGCATTTCTATACACGTACATATACATATATTTATTTATATATAATGTGTTTGTGTAATGTTTACTTTTTATCCCCAGTCAATCTTAAAACAACGCGTTTTAATTCCCTAGATTTGTGGATAAATATTGACTTTGCTTTGAGTTTGCATTTAATGTTAAACAGATGGTTTATTTTTTAATCTTACTAATATTATAAATCTGAAAGTTTGTGAGTTTGTGTGTGTGTGTTGCTCAATCACGCATAAACTACTGGACGGATTGGGCTTAAATTTGGCATGATGATAGCTCACATTCCCGATTAATATTAAAGCATATTATTATCCCAAAAATCCTTTCGGGCTCCGCTCCAGTGGCTCTACTGGCTCAGATGCTACTGCAAACCATCTGTCAAGATATAGGTACTACTGTAATTTAAGGTTTCTGTGTTTGGATGTTATTAGACACGATAAGAACACAATGAACTTCTTCTGCAGATGAACAATCTGTTGGTTACGAGAAATATAAGCCGAATTAATAAATGCCACAATTCAAGCGCATTAAATTGACTCTGGTCTGAGAAACTGTTTATAGTATGGAGTTTGGGCCTTTTTGATGTCACCATCTGGGTAAGTAACTTTGAGAGATCAATGATTTTTGTTGCTGAGTAGCGCCAGTAAACATGCGCATCACTTCTTTAGTTGAATAACATTCACTGACTCCATTGTGTATTCTTTCACTAAGCTGAATGAATGCATCAAAGTAAACTCTCTAAAAGTATGTAATAAACTGGAATTTAGGATTAATAACTTTCTATAACTTATCATGCATTTATTCATAAAATTATTAAAAATTTAATCCAGTTACTGAAAACCACTATTATTTAAAAAAAAAATATGGGCAACGTGCCTGAATGTTTGTCTCAGACAATTATGCATATCACAAAGAGTAGACCTATAATTGATGTACCTTAATGATATGTCTATGATAAATAAAAGTAGCCTATTTAACATTCATTTTCATAGACTGTAAAAGCCTTCTGCACTTTTATTATTCTGTATCGTATTACATAATGGGAAATTGTCCAATGATTAAATACACATGTATAACAATAATCTCGTGATGATCTGTCAGTATTGAATAATAAGACAAAATATCGGCAAAAGTAGTCAAAAAGGCAGACACCAACCAGTACAATAGATATAACATAATGCAATAAGAAATGATTGAAAGAGTTACTGTAATATTAAGATTATATAACTGTTCGTAATAGAACGTTATATTGCTAAACATGACATTATACAGAAGAACATCAATTTTAAAATAAGAAAATAAGATCCTTATATATAATTCTGTAAGACAAAATTTTTACCAGGAAATTGTGGACGTCCAGAAAATATGAGTAGGCTAATTAATGTAATTTTCATGTTCTATTTTAACCTTTTGATTAAGAATTATAGACAACCATGATCAATAGTAAACACTCCATTGTAAATAGGTACCGGTACAACAATACAAATTAAGGTGTATGATAAACATTTAAAACACGTTGGTCCACTGAACACCCTGTATATTAGAAGGTCGCCAAATGTGATAAAAACTGTTAATTTATAAGATTTCCAACCGTATGATACACTATTGAGCTTTAAGTTTGTTTATGTACGCTTTAGTGGTTTGAATACAACAAAACATGGCGTCTTTAACGTTAAAAACATAGAAAGTCAACATGTTTAAAGCAAAAATTGTATTAATATTATTATTGTATACGACGGCGGATATTTGAACGCCTTCAATGTGAGGGACGCAATAGTTTATACTTTGGACCAAACGAACTCGTATTAATGTGTTGGACCAAACGATTTTGGACCAAACGAACTGTTTTACAACTGTTGGACCAAACGATTTTGGACCAAATGAACGGCAATATAAACGTACAGTATATTTCATAAGTTTACTCTACAATGCAACATTTTACTTCTAGTTTGGCCTGTACTTTTGGACCAAACGATTTTGGACCAAACGAACGTGTTTTTAACTGTTGGACCAAACGATTTTGGACCAAACGAACGAGTTTTTAACTGTTGGACCAAACGATTTTGGACCAAACGAACGGCAATATAAACTGTGGACCAAACGACTTTGGACCAAATGAAATTGGATAAAACGATTTTGGACCAAACGAACGAGTTTTTAACTGTTGGACCAAACGATTTTGGACCAAACGAACGGCAATATAAACTGTGGACCAAACGACTTTGGACCATTTGAAGATGATCCATTTTTTAAACTAATATTTCTTAGTTTAAATAATAAAAATGTTATCTTTAAATAAGAAGAACAATAATTAATTCAAACATAAAGTTGTTGTTATGTAGGCCTTACAACAGAATGATTATTGATCCGTTGGCAAATGTGTTATGTGCATAGTTTGTTTATTTAACTTTTGTAGTTGTAAGTACCAAGCCTATTGTGATGCTTAATTTTATATGTGAAACTAATTTAAAAATGGCAGAATTGCATTTAATAAATATAGCTGTACTCGCGGGCTTTGCCCCGCTTAACTTCATAAGTATTCGCATGGCTCATTCACGTCCTGGTTGAAGTTCATTCGCTACGCTCACTCACCTTTAGGTTGGAGCTCGTTCGCTGCGCTCACTTGCCTTCAGGTTATCTCGTTCGCTACGCTAACTCGCCTCCAGGTTGAAGTTCGTTCGCTGCGCTCACTTGCCTTCAGGTTAGCTCGTTCGCTACGCTAACTCGCCTCCAGGTTGAAGTTCGTTCGCTACACTCACTCACCTTTTGGTTGCAAATTAGCTGTTGTCATAAATAAAAAAAAAAAATAGTGCTGCACCCTGTTGGTAATCCTTGTAACTTTTATGCTATTGAACATCATAGAACAGAACCAACTTGTTTAATTGAAACAGCTGTTAAGATTCATTAATTCCTTTTGAATATGAAAAATCATAAGGTTAACATGGGGAACTACAGAGCCACTGGGGCAGAGCCCGAAAGGATTTTTGAGATAAGAATATGCTTTAATGTTAATCAGGAATGTGAGTTATCATCATGCCAAATTTCAGCCCAATCCGTCCAGTAGTTTATGCGTGATTGAGCAACACACACACAAACATACACACAAACACACACACAAACTCACAAACTTTCAGATTTATAATATTAGTAAGATTATGTAATAACATATTTATTTTTTTATCGTAACTGTTTCTTTAATTTGAACCTTTAAAAGATACTAATTTTAAGAATAAAAATTATAAAAACAGCAAGAACTTTTTATATTATTGACCAATTTGTTGAATTTCTTTTTGTTTTTGGAAAAATTGCAAAAATATTGTTATTGTGCCAGCCAAAGTCAGTAACAAGGCTATAAGATCGCGCAACAATCATGACAATCATGACACTCATCCTTCATTCATATTCAGGTTAAAATACCCACTAAGTGAGGTCCCTGTCTTAAAATAGTGATATAGCTGACGTAACCCGCTTCGCTGGATATTTAAATAAAATAAGAAATTACAGCTTTCGATTTACATTAGCAGACAAAATTCAAAAAGTATAGTAAAAATAATTAATTGTTTATCAGCTGTTGGAAATTAAACACCTTTATGTATGTTCAACTCTTCCCTTTTATTTATATTTGGGTCCTTAGGAAAAACTAGTTCGAAAAACGAATATGTTA